GGTGCCGGCTGCGCCGTGGGCGTCGCGCTCGCCACGGCGCTGTTCCTGGCCGCTTCGGCTTTTATCTGAACACGATGAGTTGACGTTTTTTTTCCCTTGCGTCTCTTCTCTCATTCTCTTTTTCACCCCTTATTTATTTCTCCACTTGTCCATTTTCTCTTGTTCCCTTTTGCATAGCTAGATACGGCGTTTTGGGACTTTATATCTGGTGTATTTACTTATTAGATGGCTTGGGAACAAAAACTGGCGCTGGGTTGGATACATTGCTTGGCTGCATTTTACGGCGCAAGAGATGGCTTTTCTTTTCTCTTCTTTTCTCTACAGAGGTGTGCGTTTCAGCCCGCTGCCTCTGTTTTGGTTTCCTTGTACTTCTACGATACCCTGAATCATTCTCTTGTTACCCTTTGCCTCCTTTCTTTGCTTATCTTGGTGTTTGTTTTCTTTCGTCTTCCCGTACCCTCTGCAACTTGCTCTTCTCTAGGTGGCTGCTAACCTCACAGCCCAGCAGTTTCTGGTGGCCTGCATGTCCTGCAGCAACGGTAGGCTCCAGCACACCGACAAGGCATATTCAGTCTTGTGAATAGCTCGTGCCAGGAGATTCCCACCCCGGGTTCTCTCCATCCGGCCAATGCCCGCGACCACGTTGGAGTATTCACCACATTGCCATCCGTGTGGCATCAACTTGTGACACAGAAGTTGCGCGGCGAGAGACAACGGATCCACCGCTCTTATTAGTGCTCCCAGAAAGAATGTCGCGCCTCCATAACGAGAAGACTACATTGGCCCGCGTGGCAGCTCACTCTGGGCCAGGTATCCCCTTTTCCTCTCCTATCTTTTCTACAGTTTCCCAAGTCTGGCGTTACGGAGGGTATTTCTAGCCGAAATATACCCCTAAGATCGGAAATCTGGGACTAGTGTCCGAGAAGACCAAGGCTCACAATCTTGGGCCTGCTGAGAAAGCTTCGTTGATATGGCGCTAGCTACGTGTTCCCGCCTAGAGTTCCTGACACTCTTGTCCTGTGCCCGTTTTTCGTCCTCCATTGTTCCGCAAAACAGCAAACCAGAGCAATCTGTTGACTAATAACACAAATGAATGGTGTGCCTTCCTTAAAAGGTATGCTGCCATGGTGATGCCATGGTGGTGGAAGATTCCTCTGTACACCGCCCGATCCCTCTCAGTCGGGTTGTCAAGCGCTCCTCCCTAGCCAGAGCTTCCCGCAGGCCAGAAGGCCTTCCATTTCAGACACAAAGAACGGAAAACCAAACTTCGGAATTGTCGACATATTGACGAAAAACCCCTAATTTGTTCCGTGGATCCATCTCTCACGATGGGGTTGAGGGTCCGACGAGTCTTCAAGATGTGCAATCTCGTCAGTCTTGATAGAATGGAAGGTATCTTCCATTACCTCGCGTGTCTGGCTGCCGGGAAGAAACTCTCCGGCCTTGCTAGGGTGGAGCCGGTTACTGAGAAACACATAGCGAAGCGCGATCTGCGATTGGTCAAGGGTGCTGTCCTCTGCGTGTGGTCTGTTGGACCAGGCGTTGTTAATGTCAAGTCCGAACCCTGCTATAACACCCCTGACCTCTGCGCCGAACACCAATTCGGGTTGGCCCTTGGAGCCTGCGAAGATGCTCCTGGGCCACGGCCGGAATGGGTAGCCCTTCTGGTAGTAAAGGGATGATGTCTCGAAAGAGCCCGCGAAGGAGATTCCTGATGCCCCACCTGGCCTCCGCCGAAGGCCATCCACAACTAGGGGGAAGATATTGTAGGCCGGAGTGGCGTGGAAGACTGACAGACCCGAGGTCTGCCTCTTCTGGAATGCAGCCTCCCGCTCGAGGGTCGAGTTTAGGAGGATGAATTGGGTGGCGGGCTCAATCCCCGCATCCTCGGTGATGTACTTTACGGTTGCGGCGGATGACGCCGACACCAGACATCCTTGGAATTCGGTTGCGAGCCAGGAAAGCAATGCCTCGCGTTCTTGGCGGGCTCGGGCAGTGCTAAAGTTGACGACGCTCCTGGGTATTGAGGAGTCGTCCATGGCGGGGAAATATTTGACGGCCCGGTTCACTCCAGCCCAGCTCAGCGTGGAAGGTCTTGCCACCGACTCGGGAGGGCTACAGCAGCAGGAGTAGACGCAGCCCAGCAGGAAGTCGAGGACGCGGTAGTCCACCAGCAGCGGCGAGACGCGCACCGCGAGCGGGATCTCCTCCCTCATCCGGACCTTGCACGGGGCCGAGCAGGGGGTCGGGCGCCAGAGCTTGACGCCGCCGCCGAAGCTCTTGTCGCACACGGCGCACGCCCTGCCCGGGTCGGAGCGCACGACGCGCACGACCAGGTCGGCGGCCTTGGTCTCGGAAAAGCCCCTGTGCGACAGCCGCCCCTTTTTCCACGCCGCGGCGTGCAGCCTCTTGCTGACCGAGTATATGAGGAAGTTGTCGAGGGCCTCGCAGCCGTGGTTGGCCTCGGACCACTCCTCGCCGGTGCTGCACCAGTCCCGATTCCGCTTCCACGGCCGCCGCCGCTCGTCGTCGCCGGTGCTGTTGGGCACGAGGCGGACGCTGAAGCACTCGAGCGCCGCCGCCGCCGCCGCCCCGTCCCCGCCGCCGTCCCCGTCGCCCGGGCCGGGCCTGCGGAAGCGCAGGCACACCTCGACCAAGAGGCCGGCGGGGTCTGGCTTGAGGCCCCACGTTGGGGTCTCGAACTCGGGCGGGGGCGGGATGGTGGTGCTGTGGTAGATGGTGCGGCCGGCGGCGCGGGCTGCCCTGCCGCCGTCGTTCTTGCGCTGACTCTTGGCTTTCCCGTCCGCCGTCGCGCCGCCCTCGGTGTCATCGTGGCCGCGGCCGTCCGGGCTGGGCGAGTGGCGCCGCTTCCTGTTCGCCGGCGTCGTCGGCTGCCGGGCCGCATCCGGGGCGGCGGCGATGGCGCCCGTGGCAGCCCCTCCCTGCTTCCTCTGGTCGGCGTCTTCGAGAGCCTTTTTGAGACGCGCTCGCCTGCCGACCAGCTTCTTGACCAACCGCTCCTTGTCAGGCATGGCTGCCCCCGAGCCCGCGCAGATGGCGGTTGCGGGCGAGGCGGGTGAGTGGTGGAGGGGATGTTGCTGCTGATCGATGCTGCTTGTGTGTAGTTGGTCCTCGGACTGCTGGGTAGATAGCCTGGGACCGCTGTGGTAAGGGTTGGTGATGAAGGAAGATGGAGTGGCAAGTAACAGCGGGGACACCAGTAGGAATATATAGTCTTGCGGCGGCTGCTTCTGACGGCATGGAGAACATCGCCGCCTTGCAAAGAAGAGTACCGATCAGGCGCTTCTCCGGGGCTCGCTAGGCTTAGTCTTGCCCTAGACTGCCCGCTTGGAGGAACCCCACGAGGGGGATTTAGCTCTGAAAGCTACCAGATCCCTTGCTAGGAGCTCCACAACAGGCAGACGGCACCTAGCAGGAGACTTCATATGCTGCCAGGGCCGCATATCAAAAGCCAGGAAGCTGAAACTGACATGCAAGAAGCCGGAAGACCCATGAACACACTATTTGCTGATAAAGAGTAACAAAACCTAATTAGAACCCTAGTATACCCAGTAGTTTTACTTGTAGGGAGAGCGTAACTTTTGGCATGGGAAGGGGGTTGTTCGCCTGTCTCTAGGGAGTATATATCGCCGAGGTTGCATGCAACCCAGGCTTCGCGTCCATCATGTACTCAACCCAAGTTGGCACGATATTGTAATCTTATTTGCTAATAACAAATTCTGTATCAGTTTGCGTTCTAGCTCGAAATGGTGCGGGCAGGATGTGCAGTTGGCAGGGCTGGAAATATAGCATGTCGATCATCATGGTGGAGGCTCCCCTATTTCGAGCAACATTGCAGCGACGGTTGCGCATAAAGTCCACAACAGACATGTTAATGTTCTATCTGTTGGAATTACACTTGGTAACTGCTCTTGCATGCTATGTCCCATAATCAGCGTTAAAAAAACAGCCTCCCATGAACGCCATGCCCATTTGTATTTCGATGCTTTATCTTCATATCCAGACTAACAACATTAAATCCCACATATCTACCAGGCCCAGCCGCGGGCCTTGGCCCTAAGCCTGCCAGCCCCGGCCGGGGCAGCGGCCGGGGCGCCGGCACCGGCACCGGCGGCGCCGACGACAAAGTCGACGCAGCTCTCGTACGTCTGCTTGGCGCCGGTGCCGAACCAGAACCACTGCAGGACGCACTGGCCGGCAACGGCGCACTTGCCGGCGGGCAGGTCGGCGGGGAAGGTGACGTCAAAGGCCGTGTTGTTGGCGGGCAGCACCGCCAGGCTCTCGTCGGCGTACGTGTCGAAGACGATGAGGGGCTGGCCCAGGACCCTGTTGGTGGCCGTCTCGACGACCGAGACGTTGCAAGGCCCTTCGTGCGGAATGGGCAGGATGGCCGTCATCTTGATGACCTGACCCGGCGCGAAGGTCTGCACGCGCGCCTTGTTGTCGTCGAACTGCGCGCCGCGGCAGAGGAATGGGTTGCCTGTTTTGGGGGAGGAATATGTCTCGGTTAGCTGGCCCGGCTTGGCAGGGTGTGTGTGGTTGGAGGGCTTGGCGGTAGATTATCTCTTGGCCGAGCGTGGGGGGAAAAAGGAAAGGCAACATACAAGTCGCAGGCACGGTTCCCAGGTTCTCGATCGGGGTGGTGCCGTCGGCGAGGACGGTGCTGACGGCGGCCTGACCGCAGGCCCTGGCCATGGCCGGCCCGGGGAGCCTTGCGGCGGGCGAGGTCAAGTTTCCGTGCGCGGAAACCTGCGCGGCCAGGAAGGAGAAGACAGCAAGCTTAGTCCACATCTTGGCGGTTGTGTATGTGTCGGTGTCACGAGGACGGAAAGAAGAAACAAAGGGTTGGGCGACAAAGGTCCGGCTGAAGAAGAGAAAGAAGAGGCGATAAAAAGAGTGACCGGCACTGATGTTTGGGAAAAAAAGGAAACCTGCTACGGGGAATAGGCAGGTGTCGAAGAAGTGAAGTGAAGAAACGGGCTTGCCTGCGTAAGAAGAGACGAGCAAAGGATCGGATCCTAGAGCTCAAGACGGGACAAAGCTCACATTTATGAAAATCACGAGTCTCGGTGCACCTGTCAAGCACCCCCAAGAGCCGGGGGTGGACTGAGAAACAAGAGCGGAGCCTCCCCTGCGCGGGTATGCGAGGGCGGCCCCTAGCAGCAGCTCGAGATGGGATGGTGGTGGGGGCGCGGCTCCCCCAATCTTGGGCTTTGAGGGTCGTTTTGGGATCGGGACCAAGCGCCTGCGAGCGGTCCGCGCGCGGGACAAAACGCAACGACCGGAAGGGCGGGCTTTCGTGGGTTTACGCCCCATTTCGATGCAGGCTCGCGTTTGAGCGTCGTCGGATCGCCGGATCGCACAGGAGCCGCCGCCTGTCGTGTCCACCCCCCACCTGGGGGTCCTTGTTTGCCAGGCCCTGTCCCGACGGCAAGAACTGAGCGGCAAAAAGTCAAGAGGGGATAGGGATTTTTAAAGGTGGAGGTGCCACACAAGCTTCTTTGAGTCAAGTTGAGCCCCCATATCGTCCCATCATCCCATGTTGGTTAAATGCTCGCCCCGTGAGCTTCCCGGCATTGCATCACATCACATTTGACGCCTTACCTAGCTAGGTACGCCAAACCCTTGGTGTTAGCCCTTGAAAGATGGGGGTACTGTGTACATGACATAGTCGCTTGGTCGCTGGCGCGGAGCGCTCTCAGCCATCTTGGCAGGCGCGCGCTCGTTTGGGATCGGCGAAGCCGAGCACCGGGCCAATCGGGAGTTTTAACCGGGGGTCGCAGGCGCGGCTGCTGGCAGCCCGTGGAAACGGGATTGATGTACCTTTTTTTTTTTTAATTTTTTTTAAAAAAAAGATTTGACGGGCTTGGCAGCGTCATTTAGACTTTGTGTCGATCCTTGTCTTGTCCCCTTTTTTTGTCACAAAACCTCACCCTTGACCAGTCTTGTTCCACCATCACCAACGTTTTTGCCTGTCGCGATTTTGTGAGAACGCTTGCCAAGGCTCTGGTCTATTTCCTATTCTCGGTATCCTGCCTTTTTTTTCAGCATCCAAAATATCCGTTATGACTGACATACACCCAGGCCGTCAAGCGATATAGCCTACCCACACACGAGGTCCGAGGGACGACGGAGGAAAACAAATACAAAGGGAGAGGGAGATGGCAGCGAACAGTGTCCCGATACAAAAATACAAAGCTTTATTCAGTTGGGCAAGTTACAGGTTGCTCTCCCGCACGTGCTTCTCGTTGACGAGCACGTAGCGGTACCTGGCCTTGCCCTCCTCCAAGTCGACAATGACCTGGTTCGCGTCGGCCAGGGGCCTGGTCTGGACCATGGGCTTGATGTTGTGCTTGACAGCGAACTCAAGCATCTCCTTGATCCGGGCCGGGGTGCCGATGAGGCTGCCGCCTATCTTGATATTGTTGGTGATGAGGATGAAGGCGCTGACGGCCGGCAGGACGCCGCCCTCGGGGACGCCGACGTTGATGAGGGTGCCGCCAGGCTTTAGCAGGCCCAGGTAGTCGTTGAGCGGCATGCCGCCGGTCGAGACGGTGCAGATGACGAGGTCGAGCGTGCGCCGGTTGTGCTTTGCCCAGCCCTCGTCCTCGGCCGTCGCGATGTAGGCGTCGGCGCCCATGGCCAGCACCTCGTCGCGCTTGCTCCGGCGCCGCGAGATGCCCACCACCTTGTCGGCGCCCAGCTTCTTGGCGAACATGACGGCGAAGTGGCCGATGCCGCCGATGCCGACGACGCCGACCGACTTGCCAGGCCCGCACCCGTTGTCGCGCAGGGGCGTCCAGACGGCGACGCCCCCGCACAGCATGGGCGCCGCGTGCTCGGACGCGAGGCCGTCGGGTATCTTGATGACGAAGTTGCCGTTCGTGCGGTTGTAGTCGGCGTAGCCGCCGTACGACTTGCCCTCGCCGTCCGGGTACGTGCTCCCGTACGTGTTGACCATCTGCCCGGGCGTCGAGCAAAACACGTACTTGCCGCTCGAGCACTCGGGGCAGTCGTCGCGCATGCAGCTGCGCGCCTGCGCCCCGACCCCGACGCGGTCGCCCACCTTGATGTCCTTGACCTTGTCGCCCACGCGCACGGCGCGCCCGACGATCTCATGGCCGACGCAGCAGGCTGTTTTTGCGGTCGCAGTTAGCAAAGTCTGTCCGGTCTCCTTGGGCCTGCGGGTCTGCGGGGGAAAACGGGACATGGGCAATGGCTTTCGTCACGTACGGTACTTGGTGGGGAACCACGCAGAGCCCAGGACGTGCGCGTCGGAGCCGCACACGCCGCAGTGCGTGATCCGGATGTCGACGTCGTCCTCGGTCCACTTCTTGGGCTCGAACTGACCCCATTCCATCTTGCCCTTGGCCGCCTCGGGGCCCTTACCGAGCCACCCCTCGAAGGTGTAGTCCTTGGGAGCGGCCATTTTGGTTCAGACGTCTACTTACTGGGTATGGGTGGGTTGGCGGCTTGAAGATCAGAGCAGGCGTGTGGGGAAGATATCGGCTGCAGGGTAGAGATGTTGAGGAATGGCCGTCTCAAGATCGAAACAGATTGAAGCGAAATAGCAGCAGCAGCGACAGACGACACAAGAGGGAGACGCGAGTGCTCCATTTATACCACGGCGGTCCATCTCCAGGGAACCATGCAGATGCGCGGCTCCATCGCTGTCACGACGTACCAACGAACACAAGAGGAGGAAACAACCTGGGCCCGCCAGAGCCCCTCTAGCTAGCCATGGCGTACAAGTGTTGGCCACGGCAGAGCCACGGTCGGTGGCACCGCGGCCCGGAAAACTCCAGTCCATTCTGTCAGCGGGTTCCATGTCCGCTAGCGGGCCCCCCTCCCGGAGGGGTAGGGACTTCAAGCCAGGGCGGCCGGTCCACCAGTTGTTTGCAATCAACACCTAAGTCCGGGTTCCCACTCGGAGCTTCCCTCTCCCTCGGAAGTTACTGTATGAGAGAGCCTGTGAGGGCTTGGGTAATCGCCGGGGACATGCCGGCCACTGCGAGTGGGCGCGGCAGAGAGAGGCCGCAAGCTCATGCGAGCCCATGACATGGCGGCAGATGGAGGCGGCAACAGCAAAGGCTTTTTTTGGTGTTGAACGCCTACCTGTTGTCGTCTGCTCGACGGTGTGCCCGAAACGGGTAGCCCCCGTCTGCACTGCGACCTTTGAGCCATCCTATAACTGTCAGCTGAGGCTGGCAGACCGCTCGCTTATCGACTCCGACCTGCTGCATCCGGCCGGCCAGCTAGCCAACCTCAGACCGTGACCACGTTTTCCCCCGCCGCCCGACTGCATTCTTCACCTTTCCTTTTCGGGACAAGGGTCAAAGAAAAAACGGGGGTCTGGGTCTTTGCTGCCGAGGCAAGGAGCGGGCTGTGGCGGGGCCAGAGGAGGAGAAAAAAACTTTGTGATTAGAAAATAACACTTGAAGCCGAAAGCCGATTTCCAGCGTTCAGACCCAAGTACGCACGAGCTGGACCTCCGGGCCAGCCTTGTCCCCTGGGTGCCTCGCCCTACGTAATCTCACCAACCAATGGGGAATCCCAGGCTCCCCTCAAGGCCAAGAAAATGGACGCATATTGCGTCCATTTTGGATGCCGACAGCCTTAACCCCGATCACACCACGTTTTCCTTTTTTTTTTTCCCCAAACTAACTCGTCACAGCAGAGCCGCGTTTTCCGGACGCCGCGTACCGGGAAAACGTGTCGCATCGTTTCTCGCTGTGGGTTCAGGGCGCGGACTGGAATCACCGGGGCCATATGGTCACATCAAAGTTTGGTGATAAGAGACCGCAGCCAGGTGCTACCAATGAATGCGCCTGGCCTTTCATCTGCTTCTTGCCTGGCCCCCTCAAGAAAATGCAACCTCGGCATTGCTCGGCCACGACGGCAGCATACATACCGTACAGACAATTGGGGCCTACCCTGGCTAGAGATACCCGAGTCAGGCTCGGCATCGGGCGGACCCGTCCTGCCGAAACTCACTGCTGGGCGCCCTCCACTTGATGACTGCTGCACAACAGGGTGAAAGAGCACTGATCACTGACAGCGCGGTGAAACATCACTGATCACTCGGGTGCGTCGGTAAGCAGACGACGAGTAATCGATTATCTCGCACTTCATGTACATAATCCAGTGATATTAAAGAGTGACGAGACAGTAATCATCCCACTCCGAAGGCCTGCATCATAAATCCTGCCGTAGCTAGCCCCGGTTGGCAATCACAGGCCCCCAACGTACAACCGACACGATCCCCAGACAGGACAAACGAAAACCCCGACGACATTCATCGTCATCATCACCACCACCCCACATCCCATCTAATGCCACGAGCCGGCCGGGGGCCCAAACGTCCCGCCCTTGGGGATGGGCAGCAGCACGCACGCCTTGCCCTCGCAGCCCTGCGAGACGACGTCGGTGCCCCACCAGGCCGGCATCTCGACATCGCTCCACTGCAGCGCGAAGAAGATGACGATGGCGGCGATGGCCACGCCCGACGAGAAGGCGGCCGAGAGGATGAAGTTGTACTTTGACCAAAAGGCCAGGTGCCGGTTCTTGATCCAGATCCACGACACCCAGGCGATGGGCACCGCGGGGAGCTGGTAGCTGAGGTTGTACGGCGCCATGCTGAGGGCGCCGTATAGCATGGCCACGGGGTGCACCTGGCGCAGCCACCGCGACTTGCGGAACCGGCGCTGCAGGAGCCAGAAGATGATGGGCACCACAAAGCCGAGTGGGAAGCCGATGAGGGCGCCCGAATACTGGCCGGTGATGCCCCAGACCTTCTTGGGGCCGATGGTGCCCCAGAGCACCGAGGCGGTGAAGAAGGTGTTGATGCCCGGGCACGTGAAGCGGTTGGGCGCGTCGGGCGTGCAGACACCCGGGATCTGGTTCATCTGGAAGTTGAGCACGCCCGTGCACACAAACGTCGACACGAGCGTCGCGATCATCTGCGCCCAAAAGGTGACGCGCGGCGGGATCTTGACGTAGTGCGCCAGCTTGAGGTCGTTTGCGAACCAGACGGCGTGCGCGCACGTCACGTAGCCGTACGACTTGAAGAAGTTCATGGCCAGCGCGTTGCCTTCCACCCACGAGCCGCCGATGAACTCGGCGATCACGTTGAGCGTCACCTCGATGCCCGTCATGGCCTTGACGATGCCCACGGGCACCACGAAGACGAGGCAGAGCGCGAGGCCGTAAAAGACGGTGCCCGGGCTCGTGAAGGTCTCGTAGCCCGCGATGCCGCCCATGCCGAAGGCGATGGACGCCACGAGCACGCAGAGGTACCACCACTCGGGTGCCTCCTTGTACTTGCTCATGAGCCGGTTGTGCACGTCCTGGTACTGGGCCGTCGACTCCTCCTCGCCCTCCTTCTTCTTCTGGAACGACCGCCACAGGCTCTTGAAGCCCATCTTGACCTCGTACCGGTGGTACAGCCCAATGTACACGAGCGTGGCCGGGTAGATGGCAAAGAAGAAGATGTAGATGCAGATGTTGCCGGCCGAGAGGAAGGCCATCGAGTACGCCTCGTACTTGGCAGCGTCGAAGATGCCGCGCTTGTCGATGGCCCGCGACACATTGAACAGCTTGCCCGTGTTGTCAAAGACGCGGTTCGAGTTGATGGGCAGCGATGCCGTGTACCACGTGTTGGTGTACCACACGCTCAGAATCACCATGGCGCTCACCAACATGCCCAGCGTCTTGTTGAGCGTCGAGAAGAAGGGGACCATCAGCGGGTCCGTGTTGTCGAACAGGAGCGTATTCCAGTCAAAGGTCGACACCGGGTTGATGCCCAGCCCGTTGTTGAACCCGACGACAGAGTTGAGCTTGGTGTTGGTGGGCGCGATCCACGACATCCAGCTGAAGACGGAGAGCGCAGGGAAGATGAACTGCGGGAACCAGAAGTAGACAAACATGCCGCCAAACGCCATCAGGAAGAAGCGGTACCGGGACATCCTCCACCAGGTGCGGAACGGTCCCTCGACCTTGGCGTTGGCCGTGTCATGGAAGGCCGTGTTCAGCGCGATCGTCACGAGGGAAGCCGGCCAGACGCAGAAGGACGGGTAGACAAGGAACCGCCGCGTGAGACCCGCCAGCCCGTAGCCGATGAAGTTGGTGGACAGCGCGATGAGGATTTGGTACGAGAACTGCCCGGCGTACGACTGGTTGAAGTAGGCGGCTGTGGAGGTGCAAGCACGTTAGCCGGCCATCACGCGCGTGCGTCGCATCTGCCAAGGGGACCGGGAGAACCTACGGAGATATTGACTCCAGATGATGTTGTTGGTGTACGGGGTTTGGTATGCGACGTTGGCCATGATGGTGATCAACATGTGCTCCTTCTTGTTGAAGGGCGCCGGGTTCAGGCTGATCCTCGACCCGAAGAGTGTGACGCCCCAGTCGGGCACCGTCTTCTCCCACAGTTTGCCCACGGGGTAGGAAAGCAGCTGGGCAACGTTGGCCAGGACCGTGATCGTAGGCTGTCTGATGGAGAAGAGCTGGTTGATGAACGCCAGCAGCATCGAGAAGAAAAGGCCAATGACCCAGGCCCGGACTGTGGAGACTGGGATAGTCGGGTCATCATGGTTGTCGACAACAGCTCGCACCTCGGCGTACGGGCTGTTGTTGGTGATGAGAGCCGCCTCGAGCTTCATCTCGGTAATGAGCTCCTCGTGCTTGTCCGGGTTCGTGAAGACATCCCCATTGGCTGCGAGACGACGTGTCAGTTAATGCGCATTAGCCTGAAAATCTGTGCTATCAGGCTCCGACGGGGCATGGCAGGAGGACAGGAGACATACAGATAAACTCCCGAATACGCTCGATGACGGTAAAAGGAAAGTTGGGGTCGTCATTGTGGACCTTCAAGACATCTGCCATGATCTATGGAGTATCAGAGGGACTATTGGTCAATAACGATATACAAAGATACATGACACGGCACAGAGCAGGGGATCAGGGGATGGGCTGAGGGATCTTGACTCACGGTATGAACCTCCTCCAAAGACATATGTGCCGCAATTGCCTTGGCCTCAACGAGGTCACCCTCCGTCGCATTCAAGACACTGAGTACGAAGAACAGTGTCAGTGGGCGGCAAGCTCCTAGCGCCAACAGCGCGCACGGGGGAGGGGTTTGTTACGCACTCGTCCACGCGCTGGTTGACAGGCACATCGTCCATTGACGTGTTGGAGGTTGCCTGTGGGTTGTTGTTAATATCAACAGCACATAAGTTGGTGAGACCGCTCTTGTTCCTGCATCTTACCTCAAAGGCTGGACCCTTCTTCTCCCCGAGGACTCCCCCGGTGGGAGCAACCCCAGCCGGGGGAGTCGCCTTCTCGACTTCGGTCGGAGCCGACATTGTCACTGCTCTCTAGCCACGACAGTACGTCTGTGAGTTACAGACTGTGCCTCTGCTGGGCGGCGAGGCGAGGCGGGTGTGCGGACGAGACAGGGAAGGGATGGACAGACGCGAACGCATTTTCGAGAGGGGAGTGCACAGAGGACATATATAAGCTTCGCGGGATAAGGCGACTCGTTGCCACCGTGACCTTTCAGGTGGAAATGGCCCCTAGACTTCCCCTACCTGCCATCTCGATGCTCCTTCCTTGTCCATCCCCGGCACACACCATCGTACCAGAACCGAGGACCATTAGCCACGCACCGTGGTGCTGGACATGGAGCAAGATAGTGGATTGGCCACCGAAACACGGCCTCCTTCCTATCTGGGTCGAAATTGGCCATGTCGTGGGCATGGACTCGGCCAGGGTGTCCGAGTCGCATCTCCCCGCAGAGATAGACGGCTGAGACGGTAGGTGATGGGGACATCCCTGTCTCCTTTATGGACTGCTACCCCACGAGCTGCAGGGTGCGCCCGGGTCGACGATAGAGTGCTGACAGTGCACTAGAAACAAACACCCAGCTCCCGCCCTTGCGAAGAGATCCAGAGACTCGGACCAGGCGCGAGCAGTTAGCAGCAGCCATCACCCAGACTCCAAGACCGTCCTATGCTCTAGAGCCCTTATCGGCGCAGGGCTAGGTAGGATGCGGAGAATGCGGAGGATGCCGGATGTGCGTGTTCCGTATAGGAGTATGGTGGCTCAAGATGAGACAAATAGTATCACGTACAAAGAGGGGCAGCCGCGCTCAGGCGAAAGGGGGGTTCGCGTCTCCTGGAGAAGATTATGGGCCAGGCAGTTTTTGGTTATTTAGCCGTTTCGGTGACGACGTGGGTCCCCACGGCTAGGGGGGAGACAAGCAATGGGGCGAGCGGGGTGTTAATATTATTAGACTTCTCAAGCAATAAAGCCAAGGCCTCGAGCCTCGTAGGGACGGGGCCAGGTGCTCACCACGCTCGCACGAGGCCGAGGATCGGGGGTTTTGCGCGGCTCAGTACCAAAGGGCCATGGGAGACTCGCGAACAAGCTTTGGATAAGCATTCGGCGATCCTCAGCCGAGCCCTTGGCGAACATCCACTCTCGTGGGCTCAGCTCATGCAGCGCTGCTATGCCCAAACTGGCAGTTGGACTTGCGCGTTGCACCGCGCCGGCGACGATGCGACCACATGCCATACCCAACGACTCGGTGCCCTCCGTATTGCAACTATCTTGCGCGATCATGCGCTGACGGGGTTGCCATCGTCTGTCCCACGTCGCCATCTCCATCTTCGGGTGGGACTCCGCGGAGCTCGCACCACATTGGGCCCCCTTTTCTTCTGCTTTTTATTCCCACCCCCTCTGTTGACCTCGCTGGACATGGTCTTGACAGGCCTGGACTCCTCGCGAGCGTGGGGACGACATGTGATCTCGCGCAGACCTGGAATGGCATTGGCGCAAGAGATATGGCATGCCCAGTCGATGGCGGGGCCTGTTGATGTCAGGGGGGTTTTTTTTTGTGCAACGAAAGCTCATCCTGGTGGCTGGGCCCCCTCACGGTGTGTGGCTGGGCCAAATTCTTGGGCCCTCTGGTCTGCGGCGAGCGCGATCTGTCAGTGCTCTGTCAAAGCGGACAGCAGCATTCCAGCAGATTCCCGTAACCGGCCGAAAGACTGGCTTCCGTGACGTCAAGAAGGCGGGAAATAATGCGTACAAAATGCAATAAATACAAACACAAGCATCGGAATGGAATTCAAGGGACTGATGTGTTGGCTCAAGGGAACAACCCATCGAAGGAGACCCCTCAGAGCACGGATATGGTACGTAGATAGATTCAATCTGGAATAAAAATAATTGAATCGCCGAGGAAACGAACCTAATGAGGCCGAGCGTAAAACTATGATGTATTTCTAATCGAGACCCAAGTGCAAACGGAGCATTGAGCTGAACTGGAGATGGAAACGCGTCCATTGCTCGTTTGTGGCTGCTCACGTGCTGCTGTAACCGCGAGCCAGGATCTGGATGCCACGCTGAGCTGTCCTGCGCCTGCAGAAATCAATAACTCGCTTCGTCTGGCAAATCGGGAGCGCAGGAGCAACGGGGAGATTCCATGGTGTTGTTGCCGTCATTGGTTGCAGATCCCAGGCCAAGGGCGGCTGCCACCAGCACGCTCCTGCCAGAAATAGACGAGGTGATCACTCCACTCTTTTAGCCCAACCCAACCCAGATTGAAATCGCACATCGCCACCACTTACGCTCGTCCATTTGGAAGCGGTTTTGGGCAGCGATCGATGCTGCAGTCAAGGCTTGCCTTTGCTTGATCGCTCAGCTTGTTTGCACATGAAGAGACCACCCATCGTCGTCGATTGACCGCATCAACACCACCACGCCCATTGCTCGTCCATGAAGCTCTAGCTGGTGTTACAGCGCGCGCGGAAACGAAGTTCGACAACTGAATTCCTTGCTATAGCCCGAGAGAGGAGCACGGGTGTCCATGGTACGCCCCGCCCCGCAAGACCGTCAGCCCTGAGATTCGGGAAGCCGCTGACTCCACCGCCGCTTGCGCTCCATGGCCGTCCAGTCTCGACCTCACGCTCCCGATCCAAATTCGCTCGGCGCACTTTTGCTCTAACATGCCGCGGCCGACACCGCCGGCCGATGTTGCTGCCGCCAACCAATATCTTGGGGTCTTGGGGGGTAGACGCCGGCCGTCATGGATAACAACCACGCCTGCCGCCGCCTCGAATCTCCGCACCAAACGAACGTTTGACCAAGCACTACCACCAGATTTGCCCCGGTCACTGCCACCTTCTTCCGACAGCCTCGCACAGCAACAATCAATTCAGTGAGTTTGAGCCTTGCATTTCCCCCCTCTCCACCCCCCTCTGCCTCTCTCCGTGCCCCTCTCCGCCTCTCTCTCGGCGACTTTGTTCATACTCCCCGCACCTTTGAAACACCCAGACCGCGTTGGCGACCGCGTCTGACGCCCACGGACTCTCGCGGTCCCAACCACGGCGCAATTCTTGAAGGACTGGCTCTGGTCACCACATCCCGCTGACCATGCATCCAGCCCCAATGTTCTCCCGTCCCCAGCACCTAGCGACGAACCGAGTCCCACGGCCACGATCCCACAGGACAGCGCCAACCAGAACCCACTGTCGGACGAGGCGCCGCCACAGAGCATGCTGACCCCCGGTTCGGCGCCGGATGCCCTCCATAGCACACCGGTGACCGAGACCAGGCTACCTGCTCCAGCTGGCTTGGCCGCTCTCGACAACCAGGCGTTGAACATCGGACATGGCAGCCCACCGGGGCCAGCGACGGTGCTCGTCTCAGAGACCTCGGGGTTCTGGATTCCGCCAGCTGCCGCAAACGCGCCCGACACGTCTCCCGTCTCTGTCAACGTTGCGTCCCCCCAGACGCCTCAACCATTTATGTTGTCGAATGGGGCCTCGTCCAACATTCCGCCATCAGCCATGTCTCCGGCACCGAGGACGCCAGGTCAATCTCCCCAGGTGCAGACCGGTAACCTGCCTAAGAAGCGGCGTGTCGGGTTAGTCAATATCCGCGTCCTTCTCCACGCGGCCGATAAGTGTGTCCGCGCTCGGTCTGTTGTCTGCTAACGCATAAGTAACCACTCGTAGTTCAACCGCAAATCCCTTTTCCGAGGACCTAAAAATGTACCTCGCGGCAAAAATACAAAGTATGCCCCAAGGCCTCGCTCGCTCGAGGATGATATTGGTGTCCGACGCGTATCAAAAAAGCGATTTGGCCTTCCTCCATATCCACCAAACTTACTGCGCCTGGTCGCAAGGTGAACTGGCGACACTCACCGAGAAGCGCGGGATACCATGGTCCACGGTCGATAAGGCTTTCGAAATCCTGAAGAAGATTCTTAAGGACAATCTGACACTCTCGGCCGACAGTCTCAGATATTTCACTGCGGTCCCTGGACCGCTGGAAGCGGCCATCACAAAGCCATGGCTCAGTTTTGTCGAGAGCATGGCCAACCAGTGGGAGAATACCGTCTACGTGGCCTTCTCCCAGAAGCGTCCCCTGTTGGTCAGCGAAATGATTTGCTTTCTGGGGTGCCGATCCATCGTTATGCAGAAGCTCCTGTTCACAGCGAATAGGAGAAGCCTCGGCATCATAGATGATGCCGGGTTGGGCGCGACGATAGATGCCGTGTTCGCCCAGGATCAGCGCTGGGCCATGAGCACACCCGATTTTCAAGTCGGGAACAGCCAAGGTTTAACATGGCAGTACTTGGAAAGCAGGAGTCAGAGACTCGTTGGTCAGTATCAAGCCTGCGTGATGGCGGCGAACACCGCGATCGCCGCGAACACCGCGAACACCGCGAACACCGCGAACATCGTGAACACCGCGAACAACTCGAATCAGACCTTTGCTAGCCAGGATAGCTCGACATCTTGGGCCCCTTGGTCGACCTCACCGGCCGCCAGCTTACCCCAGGTCCTTCAGTCCCCGAACCCATTCGGCACGCAGCGCCAGCAACATCAGCAGCAGCAGCAGCAGCAGCAGCAGCAGCAGCCCACGCAACCAGCAGCGTATCCCGATGGGGCGCACAGGCAGCAGAACACACGGGCATCGGTAATGGGTACAGGAATGGAGAGCATGACTGGCACCAGTTACGCGACCCAGGCGCCACTGATGCTGCCGCAAACGATGAGCCCCGGCATCCATGGCGGCGTGCATCCAAACGCCACGCAACAGCAGTCTTCGGCGCAGACATCACAAAACTTCCCCGTGGGCCAGCAGTTTTCTCGAGCACCAGGGTTTGCTGTCCAGGCTCCACCACCGATCTTCAGCCCATACACTACGCAAGCGCCGACACCATCGCGACACCCACATCACCAACAGCTGATACAGGAATATCGTCGCCAATCGCTGCCCCTGGCGCAGGCAGCATCTCCCACTACCACGGTCCCGTCGAATGGCCATATGCTTCCACCTGCATCCAATGTTGTTTTCCCCAGCCAGCTCCAGGGTGCCTCCGCGCATACGGTGGTGACTGCCATGCCGAATATAGTGCCCAGCAATGGTGACACGTATGGTCGCGTCTATCAAGCTTATCAAGCTCGCCACGCGGCACCTGCCCCTGTAGGGCCCCCTTCGGCTCCAATTAATCGGGAAACCCCTCTGCTCCCGCCTGTGGGAGAGCTTATACCAAGGCACGAGCACTCCCACGATCAGTACCACGAGAGCTCCATGAACATGACGCTGCACCAGGTGCACTTGCGAAGCCCCGTCAGGACGAATCGGGTTCTCACCGGCAAACGGGAGACTCCACAACGTCATTATCAGTTCGTCAACGGATTCGCCGTCGCCCCTGTGGTGGTGGCCAGCTCCAGTCACGGTATCACTGAGCTTGACTTCGACGTCGATATTGAGACGATATCGCGACTTTCCAAGCCCGTCCCACAGCAAGGGCGCGACCCGCAAGTCCCAGTTCACGAGTATGAAGACGGCACGCTGCGCATGCGACTGCGATGCTGCAAAATTGACAGCGCCACAGCAGACCTGTCCCAGTCGGCATGGGCTAGTCTCGAGACTTCGTGGCCGGCGCACATCTTCATGGTGCTCAACGGCAGGACGGGTCTGACGCCGAAGCGGAAGCCGCACTATGGCAAGGATCTCCCTGCCGAGCTCACATCGCATATCGGCTGCGGGAAGAACCAAGTCAAGATCGCGCTCGCAATGCACCAGGCGCCCCTGGAGTACTTTGCGGTGGCGGTGGAGACGATTGTTACAAAGAGCCATTCGTCTCTTTGGAACCAGACCCGCAACCACCAAGTTACACCTCGAGAGAAGACATTGGAGGTGATTCGGAAGCGAACCAGCAGCAGCAGCAACAACGACAACGACGACGATGGCATCATGATTGTGACTGAGGAACTACCTATCGATCTCGCAGATCCGTTTTCGGCCGTTTTGTTTGAGACGCCCGTCCGAGGCGCCAATTGCACACACCTGGAGTGCTTCGACTTGAAGCTTTGGCTCGAGACGCGCGAGCGCAAGCCCGCCTACAAGTGCATCTCGCACAAGGCAGATACCTGTGACGCGACGTGCCGCTGGCAAATTTCGGAACCGACTCTAGTGGACAAGTGGCGGTGCCCAATCAAGAGCTGTTCGGGCGACGCTCGTCCATGCAGCCTGGTGGTGGACGGCTTTTTGCTCGAGGTGCGCCAGAAACTCGAGTCCGCCGGCCGGCTGGACGTGCGAAGCATCCGTGTTTCGGCAGACGGGTCCTGGAAGCCGGTTCCGGAAAGGCGCGAGAAGGTCGATGACCATGACGACTCGGGCAGCGACGACGATCTCAAAGGCAAGCACGTGCTGGGCCGGCGGAGCAAGAGCAAGAGCGGACCAAGCAGAGCGTCCTCGACTAGTAGCGTCTATCCGGATGTTCGCGCTCTCCATGGGCCGCCAGAAATCATCGATCTCACCTGAGTGGACAGCCGAATACAGAGTCCGCATCATCACGGTCATATAGCTGGACATTCATCCTTCCCTCCCCACCACCTCCATACAGACACGACATCCACATACCTTGTTATCCTTTTTCTCTTTTGGTTCATATTTGGGCGTTTGGTTATCAGCATATACACATGGTCACGTCGCGACGGGACTCGCGGCTACGGATGGATGATAGGAAAAGGCGCCTCAAGGGAAGCATGGGCGTTTCCCCTCTTTTTTCTGGAACTATTGTTCCCATAGTAATCAGGTCCTTGATATCTGGCGTCATTTTCTTTATCGTCTTCGGGTCTGGAGCTTGGAATCGCATCGCAGGTGCACATCGAGCGTTGTCTTGCGGCGTTATTTTCTCAGCTGGGTTGCTGTGTCCCTTGAGAGGGCACAGGTAGAGGCGAGAAATGGTGGAAAGTAGGGAGTCGTGACCGATGAGCCATGTGGTAGGCACTGGGCACGCCACTCACTGGGACTGCCTCCCGCATATACCCCCTGTTTTGCACTGTACGGATGGTGTTTGTTCGGGACGTTGCGCCAGCCAGGTACTTGCCTCGGTCCTATCTAGGTACTTAGCTACCAAGGTAAACAGCAAGCAATGGGCGCTGCGACAATTTATGGAAATGGGACGGGGGACTACGAAATGAACAAGTTTGGGGGCAGGTTGATGTTGCCCAAGGCGCGATGCTGAAGCCATTAACTACCTGGGGGTTCCACCTTCTTGACCCCTTCCTAAGGAGAGGGACACAAAACCCCCATTATCCACTAAACCTCCACTACGCTTTTTGTAAATGAATTTAGTGCACACAATAAAAAAGCAAATGTAATTTAGAAAGCAGTTTTAAAACAAGCGCGTTAATAAATAAATAAATAAATAAATAAATAAATAAATAAATAAATAAATAAATAAATAAATAAATAAATAAATAAATAAATAAATAAATAAATAAATAAATGTCACGGGACCAAACCAAGGTAGTACCCGTTACACCAAGGCAAAAGAGGAACGTTTTACAACGCATGCGAGGTCTTTATAAGCGACCGTACCGTAACAATACCCTACCCTTAAACCGCAATTATCCCTAATTGCAATTAAGGTTCGCCTTCCAGGGTGCTGGCGCCCATGCCATAGTAGGGTAATCGCTATAAGCTTCCCTTGAAAAGCTTCGGTCGGCTTTTCGAATCGCTGGAGCCAATTGCCCCCCGCCCCCAGCAGAAGAAGCGCTATAGTTGGAAACCTATGCGCGCGACCGTACGGGGAATTGAACTCGAGCGACCCTGAGCTACAACAAACTGTTGGGACCAGACCAAGGTAGTACCCGTTACACAAAGGCAAAAGAGGAACGTTGTTGTAGCTGGGGCTACAACCCATGTAAGATTTTATGCCCCCCTCCTCAAGAAAGGGTTAACTGCTACGATACCTGGAGGCGCCTCGATTTCTTCCGCGGCTTGTCGATCCGTATGCGGGAGGGAGCCAACAAAGGCCAAAGTCAGCGCTAAAAATAGCAGTGATCGCCTGGGCTGGGCGCTTGGGCTGGCGTTTCGAGCTGGTGCCGCCAAGAACCAGAGTCCAGGGGACAGCCGACGATGGGCGCCAGTGGGGGTTGCAAGGTCGGGCGACCTGGAAATACTAGTAGAAGCCGTGAAGTTTGTTCTTTTCTCTTCTCCTTCACATCATCACAATCATTCCTTATGTCTTTGCTGCTTTGTCGCTGGCCCTACCGAGACCCAAGTTATTTCCCTTTTAGAGACGGACGCCCGAGTCGAGTGGGTGGCAACCGCCAGCACAGCCGACTGCTGAGGGGGGAAGCACGGGGCAAACTCCAGCCAAAACGAGGCGAAGCAGGGCGCAAATTACGCACGCCCACCACGGCGCCGCCACCCAGGCCACACACGGCGTCCTCGGCCGGCCAGTCGGCCCTCTTCTGGGACCCGCGGAATAAGCAACACGCGCGTCTGGGCTTGTTTTGCGGCCGAAAGAAGCACCGTTTCCGCGCGTCTGTCATCGGGCGGGCCAGGACGCGAGAGGGATTTCTTTGGTGCGATGCCCGTTCGGAGTTGAGCTGCTGGAGTTATTTTTTTGGTCTCTGGTTTCTGGTTTCTGGTTTCAGAGCTCTCGCGAGTCACTCCAGCACTCAACTGGTCTGAACCAGCACACTCACTAAACTCAACTCGCTCAAAGCTCCGCCAAGGTTGGTGACCCCACCCATTGCGTCAGGGGTGACGGGAGCTTGGGGCAGACAACCTTCGCCAGCAGCAGGAGACGGCACAGCTCGCCGATAGAGAGGGACAAGCAGAAGCCACGCACCCACACACCCACCATGTCCATCCGCATCGTGCTGGACAATGGCCCGCCAGAACAGTACACCAACCTCGACGTGGTGTCGGGGCGCGTGGTGCTCTCCCTCACGCGCGCCGAGCAGGTCGGCGCCGTGGTGGTCAAGCTCGAGGGCGAGAGCCGCACGGCGCTGGGCGTGCCGGCCACGGACCCCAACCTGGCGCCGGGCGCGTACCCGCACAACCCGCGCGTGCGACCCGGCCGCCGCAACTACGGCCCGCCCGGCGCCCCGGGCAGCATCGTGCACGAGAACCACAAGGTGCTCTACCGCGTGCAGCAGGTCTTCCCGGGCCCCGACGTGCCGCCCCACGCCGTGCCCGTCTGGCTCAACCCGGGCCAGCACGCCTTCCAGTTCCGCTTCAAGATCCCCATGGAAAACGGCTGCGGCGACCCGCACTCCATGGCCCAGCTGGGCGGCATCGGCGGCGCCGGCGGCTTCGGCGACAGCGCCGGCGGCCTCTTTGGCATTGGCGGCATCCGCGTCATGGACGGCAGCCGCCAGCTTCTCTACACGCACGTCACCAAGCAGCTGCCCCCGACCTTCACGGGCCTGCCCCACCAGGCAGAGGTCGGCTACTACGTCAAGGTGACGGTCCAGCGGCCCGGCCTGCTCAAGGAGAACTGGCGCTACCAGCACAACTTCCGCCTGCTGCCGCTCGAGCCGCCCAGGGTCATCCCGACGGGGCAGGAGGCCTACGCCCGCAGACCCTTCACCTTTCGCCCGCGCTCGCCGGGCTCGGCCGCTGCCGCCGAGGGCGGGGGCAAGAAGAAGAGCTTCTTTTCCTCGAGCAGCAAGTCGAACAACCACTTCTTCAGCCACAGCTCCTCCTCCTCCTCGGCGGCCAACGCCGGCGAGGGAGGCAGCAATGATGCCAACGGCAACAACAGCGGCGCTGGCACCCCGGGCGCCGACCAGCCGCTGCAGCGCGGCCTGCCCCCCGCCGTCGAGGTGTCGGCGCGCCTGCCCTACCCGAGCATCCTGACTATGGGCAAGCCGCTGCCGCTACGCATGATAGCGCGCAAGCTGGCGCCCAGCCTCGAGCCCGTCTTCCTGACGAGCTTGCACGCCGAACTGGTGGCGTCGACAACGGTGCGCTGCCAGGACCTCACCAACGTCGAGACGAGCCGCTGGGTCGTCGTGTCGCGCCCCAACCTGTCGGTCCCCGTCGTCATGCCCGATGGCCCCGTTAACGACGAGCTCGTCCTGCCCGCCGACTCGCTGTGGGACGGCGCCGACTGCCGCGTGCCCGGGGCGCTGGGCCAGGCGGGCATGACGCCGACCTTCACGACGTGCAACCTGAGCCGCACCTTCCGGCTCGAGATCAAGGTCGGCCTGAGCTGGGGCCTGCGCGCCACGCTGCCGAGGGGCGTCCAGCCGCAGACGATACTGCTGCCGCTCGTTTTTAGTTCCATCGACGTCTACTCGGGCCTTGCCTCGCCCGAGAGCAAGGCGGCCGAGCAGGCGGCCGCGACGTCGGGGGTCACACCCGGCGAGAGCAGCAGCAGCAGCGGCGTCGTGCACGCGCATGCCGCAGCGGCTGGAGTCCCCCCAGTATTGCCGCCCAGGGGACCTACTATGCCAGGCCAGGCGGCCAGCACCGCCGGGCCCTCGCAGGGAGCACAGCCCGGGGGCGAATTCGAGGAGCCTCCACCGAGTTATGAGGAGGCTATGAATGCCAAGACATGAGGAGGGACCCAAGAGCAACACAGCTCCAGCTCATATGTTACCAATGTAGCTATACTTTCATTTTTCTTTTCCTATCTATATTTTTGATACCTCTCATTGCCGTTTTCAAGCGCAAGCGCCATGCCTCTTCTTCCACTGATGCTGGTTCTGGAGTAGCGGGGTTAGGGTTCTTGATTTGTGGGACAGGGGCGTGCGTTGAGAAAAGATTGCGGGGAACAAGGATAGATAGCGTGGGGTGTAAATGGCCAGCAGAAAAAAAAAGTTCCCGACAGGAAAATCAGGAAATCGTGGTGAGGCGACAAGAAAATTGAAGGCAAGCCAAGCCCGCTGAGCTTCACACCGACGCCCCGATCGAGCCGGAGACGCGCCGAAAGTACCCCCGCCCGTCCGAGACCGAAATCATTCTTGTTCCACCTGCTTCAGAGCCGGCCGACGACCGCGACAGCTCCCCTCCAGCCCCTCAAACCGACCGCCGACGATGGGCAAGGCCAAAACACCACGGCGAGCCGGCGCCGCCTCGTCGTCGCCCTACGACCGACACACCAAGCCGGGCGGCGGCGGCGGCAGCGCGCCGGCCAAGAACAACGTGTTCAAGTTCAAAAAGGACTACGGGCAGCACATACTCAAGAACCCCGGCATCGCCGAGGAGATCGTCAAGAAGGCCTTCTTGCGGCCGACGGACACGGTGCTCGAGGTGGGCCCCGGCACGGGCAACCTGTCGGTCAAGATCCTGGAGCGGGCGGCGCGGCTCGTGGCCGTGGAGCTGGACCCGCGCATGGGCGCCGAGCTGACCAAGCGCGTCCAGGGGCGGCCGGAGCAGCGCAAGCTCGAGGTGATACTGGGCGACGTCATCAAGGCCGAGCTGCCGCCCTTCGACGTGCTCATCAGCAACACGCCCTACCAGATCTCGAGCCCGCTCGTCTTCAAGGTGCTGGCGCTGCCGAACCCGCCCCGCTGCGCCGTGCTCATGTTCCAGCGCGAGTTCGCGTCGCGGTTGACGGCGCAGCCGGGGGATTCGTTGTACTCGCGGCTGGTGCGTTTTTTCTCCCTCTCTCTATCTCCCTCCTCTTATAGCTGCAACCAACCCCTAACAACCAATCCCAAAAAACACAGTCCGTCAACGTCCAGCTCTTCTCAAAGGTCACGCACATCATGAAGGTCGGCAAGGGCAACTTCAAGCCGCCGCCCCAGGTCGAGTCGTCGGTCGTGCGCATCGAGCCCAAGACGGGCCGTGAGCGGCCCCAGGTGTCGTGGGACGAGTGGGACGGCATGCTGCGCGTGTGCTTCAACCGCAAGAACAAGACCCTGCACGCCTCCTTCCTGGGCGTCAAGGAGGTCCTGGCCATGGCCGAGCGCAACTACAAGGTCTGGTGCACCATGAACGGCGTCGCGGTCGACGAGAGCGTCGTCGAGGGCGGCGGCACCGCCGCTGGCGCCGACGTTGATGATGTCGAGATGGACACGGACGGGGCCAACGACGACGCGGACGAGGACGATGACGAGGGCTGGGGCGGCTGTGGTTCTATGGAGGTGGACGGCGACGACGGCGACGAGGAGGCCATACCCGAGTTCTTCAAGGACCGCAAAAAGGACACAGCCGCCGCCTCCGCCGCCTCCGCCGTCGCAAAGACGCCGAGCCGCAGGAAAAAGACAAAGGTGGGCGAGCTGGTCCGGTCAAAGCTGGAAAAGGTGCTGGCGGACACGGGGCTGGCCGAGCAGCGCGCCAACAAGTGCGACCAGAACGACTTTTTGCGCCTGCTGGCCGCCTTCAACGCCGAGGGCATCCACTTTGCTTGACTTGGGGCGCTGTTTCTTTTCTTGGGCCCCCTCCTCCCTTCTTGGTGGTCTATCTGTTGGTGTTACTCATGGCAGGGGTGCGGAGTATGGCGTTTCTGTAAGGATTTGGTCCCTTTTCGGTCTTTTTTCATGCGTATATAAAATGGACGGACACTGGCTTTCCGGGACATCCCTCGTTCGGCCGCATGGGCAACGATTCCTGGAAGGAGTTCTGCGATTAATGCACAAAAGATACCTACCATTTACCAAGCTGGTGGCTTTATGATGACAACGCAACGATATGACCGTTTCGAGGCTGTAAAGATGGCGACCCACATAACAAGTCGACCTCGGGTATCATTTCTGCTATCATCTTGGCTTTTCCACATGCAGCCTCTACGCAACCTGCTGGCTTCCTTTTGCCCCTTGTTCCTCCTGACCATCGGCCTCCAGTAGCTTCAGTCGCCGTCGCTTCCTAGGACTCGACGGCCCAGAGCCCTCCCCACCCTCCGCAGCCTGACCGTCGCCACCGGCCGCGGCACCGGGCGGGGGCGGCCCGAGAGAATCAGGGTTGGTAGCGCCGAACCACCAGCGGCCGTCCAGCCCGACGTACGACCCCACATCACCCACGCTCCCCTCGGCCCCGTCCTCGTCCTCTTCCCCTCCCCTCCTACCGCGCCTGTCGTCCGGGCGGCGGCGGCGGCGGCGGCGCGGGTTGGGGTCGAGGCCGTCGTTGATGCGCTGGAGGCGGGCGCGGCGCAGCCTGCGGCCGTCCTCGTAGCCGCGCTTGCGCGCCTTCTTCTCGCGCTCAAAGTCCTCGTCCGAGTCGCCCTCGACGAGGTCGTCGGGGTTCTCGACCGTGGCGACCGTGACCTCGTCGGCCTCGCCCCGGGCGCGCTTGAGCGCCGCTAGCCGCTCCAGGAACCGCGCCTGGGGCCGCCGCTGACCCGTGCGGTCGTCCGTCACCTGGATGGCGAAGCCGTTGGCGGCCCGCGCCGCCCGGTGCGCCTCGTGCCGCCGCCGCGGGGCCGAGCGCGCCGTCAGCGTCGTGGGGCGGCACTGCAGCCGCGCCGAGGACGCGGCCAGGAGCGTGGCGCCGGGCAGGGCCGTTATGTAGGGCAGGGGCCGGCTGGTGCTGGCCCCTCCTTTTGTGCCACGCCTGGCGGCGACGCCCGACGTTGTGCTGCTTCCCGGCCGCCCGGAGTCGGAGTCGTTCTGGGGAGTTCTGCTGCCGCCGTCTTCCATCTCGGCTTCGTCTTCCTCGTCGTCGTCGTCCTGGTCCTCCTGCTTCTTGTCCAGCGGCTCCGTGAAGATCAGCTCGGTGCCGATGTTGTTGGACCACGTCCCCGTGAAGACCATGCCCCTGTGGGCGACAAGCGGCCGCTCCGTGTGCAAATCCATGATCTGTATCTGCTGCTCCTCGCGGTCCTCCCACGTTTTGCCTTTGCTGCCTGGCCGCGCGGTATCTCCTCCACCGTCTCCTGCTGGGGGGCGCCCTTTGCCGTGGATCGTGGCACCGGTCTGGTCCTTTCGGCCCCGGCGCCGCGCAGCATCGTCGTCGTCGTCATCGTTCTCAAACACCCCGGTGATGTCGGGCTTCTCCAGCATGGGATTGAACCAGCTCTTATAGCCCCCACGCGTGTTGTGGATGATGGCGTCATCTTTGAGCTGGGCGAAATCGGGTATTGACAGGTCTACGGTCAGATAGTATGTCTGTTGTTTTGTGACCGACGGTTAGTTCCTCTGGCGCGCCAAGGTTGCGCGGTGGTAGTGACAAAAGCCCACCTCGGTCTCCGTCGTGGAGTACTCGTACTCCCATTCTGATTCAGAGCTTTCGCCGGCGCCATCGCCCTCGCCTTCGGGCTCAACGTCGTCTGCCGAGCGGGACGGTTCCATAGAAGACTCTGGCGAGAATCGCTGAGCTGCATCTGGTGCTGTCACAGTAGAAGAGGCCGCCGGATGTGGTCGTGATGGCAGATGTGGACGAGGCTCGACGTGGGCCGCGGTCGGCGGGTTCGCGACAGGTAGAGAGGCCATGTCGGAGGACAGGAGCTACAGGGATCAGGTCATGCGGGCGCGAGATAATGTATGGATGTGGAGACTCGCGCGCTGTCCAGTGGGTGAAGCATTTTATGAATCTGAGGGCTCTCGACCTTCTTATCAATGGATATGGTGCAGGTTTCCGATGCCCGCAACCGTGGCTGCGGGAACGCTTCAATTCCGCTCCAACGCGAACTTCCTAACGTCAATTGCGCTTCAATGAACTTTCTTCCCCTCGGCGCCCCACCACCGCCCCACCCCACCCTTACCAGCGGGCCGGCGTTGGTGCAGGGAACCCTGGCTTGGAAAAGGCTGCGATGCCGGCGCATTTTACGATTATCGATAGCGACAGGAACGAGCCCCTCCGCCAGCATTGATTGTGACGCACTAAGGCGATTCCGATCCATTGACTCACTCAAGGATATGCTTCGCGGGGAGAAAAGGCCGTTGCTCGTGTCGCTCGTTTGTCCCGAGGAATAGTAGACGTATCTTTGGCACATTGCGTTAGAGTCGGACACAATGCCCAAGGTCCACCTCCTCGACTACGTCGCTGGCAACGTGCGCAGTCTTGCCAACGCCATCGAGAAGGTCGGCTATGAGGTAGAATGGATCAGGACGCCCGAGGAGATTGCCAATGCGGATGTACGTATTTCCCAGCGTGGACGTCAAAATCGCGGGATATAAATGTGTGTCTTCTCATGCACAACATTGCATCGTCTCACCAACCTCCTCCTCGTAGAAACTGATCCTCCCTGGCGTGGGCCACTTTGGCCACTGCCTGTCCCAGCTGGCCGGCGCCGGCTTCCTGCCCGCCATCCGCAAGCACATCGACGACGGCAAGCCCTTCATGGGCATCTGCGTCGGCATGCAGGTCCTCTTCGCTGGCTCGTCCGAGACCCCCGGCTGCGCGGGCCTGGGCGTCATCGGCGGCAGCCTGGACCGCTTCGACGACGCCGACAAGGCCGTGCCGCACATTGGCTGGAACGACGCCGCCACCGCGCCGCCGCTCTCGGAAGGGGGGATGTACGACCTGCGAGCCTCGTCAAAGTACTACTACGTCCACTCGTACAAGCGCCCCTACGTGCCAGGCGAGCTCGAGGCCGCGGGCTGGACCGTCGCCACGGCGCGGTACGGCGGTGAGGTCTTTGTCGGCGCCGTCGCGCGCGGCAATGTGCTCGCGACGCAGTTCCACCCGGAGAAGAGCGGCGTCGCCGGCCTGCGCGTGCTGCGGTCGTTCCTGACAGGCGAGGGCGCCGCCCAGCTGGGTTCCTCTCCTGCTACTACTGCCACCACCACCACCGCCACCGCCACCGCCACCTCCCCCGCGCCGACCACGACGGGCCTCACGCGCCGCGTCATCGCCTGCCTCGACGTGCGCGCCAACGACGCCGGCGACCTGGTCGTGACCAAGGGCGACCAGTACGACGTGCGCGAGAAGGACGACGCGCGCGGGGTCCGCAACCTCGGCAAGCCCGTCGACCTGGCGCGGCGCTACTACGAGCAGGGGGCCGACGAGGTCACCTTCCTCAACATCACCTCGTTCCGCGACTGCCCGCTCGCCGACCTGCCCATGCTCGAGGTGCTGCGCCGCACCTCGCGCACCGTCTTTGTGCCCCTCACCGTCGGCGGCGGCATCCGCGACACGATCGACGTGGACGGCACCCGGGTGTCCGCCCTCGACGTGGCCCGCATGTACTTCGCCTCGGGCGCCGACAAGGTCAGCATCGGGTCCGACGCCGTCGCCGCCGCCGAGGCCTACCTCGCCCGCGGCGGCGGCGGCGGCGGCGGCGTCCTCGCCGGCGACACGGCCATCGAGCAGATCAGCGCCGCCTACGGCAACCAGGCCGTCGTGGTGTCGGTCGACCCCAAACGCGTCTACGTCGCGTCCCCGGCCGACACGCCGCACGCCACGCTCAAGACGGCGTTCCCGGGGCCGAACGGGGAGGGCTACTGCTGGTACGCGTGCACGGCAAAGGGCGGGCGCGAGACGCGCGACGTCGACGTGGTGCAGCTAGCGCGCGCCGTCGAGGCCATGGGCTGCGGCGAGCTGCTGCTCAACTGCATCGACCGCGACGGCACAAACAGCGGCTTCGACCTCGAGCTCGTCGCCCAGGTCAAGGCCGCCGTCCGCATCCCCGTCATCGCCTCGAGCGGCGCCGGCTGCCCGGCACACTTCGAGGAGGTGTTTGCAAAGACCACCACCGACGCCGCCCTCGGCGCCGGCATCTTCCACCGCGGCGAGTACACTGTCAAGCAGGTCAAGGACCACCTGGCCCAAAAGGGGCTCATGGTCAGGCAGTTTGAGGGCGAGTTGTAAAAGGGGACATATATCATCGGCGAAACGAGCTGGTGATATTGAGCGGCCCTGTGAGGGTTTCCTGTCAAGCTGATATCTAGACCAGAACAAATAATAAAAAAAGCAAAATAAGCCGTGTTTTTTTTGTAGAAACGTTTTCTGTTCCGGTAGGCATCAGTCTTGTGCTTGACGAGCCCTCCTTCATATCCGTTTTCAGATCGCTTTTATTTTTTCCTCCTTGGGGACGCCTAATTGGACGTCAAACAGAGTCATACCTCCAGGCTTTCCGTCGTCCTCAACATGTAAACACGCACCACGCTTTCAGACATGGCAGAACAATTGCCGCTGACGGAGATAACGGCTGGCAGTCTACCCAGGATGCAAAGAGACGGAAAAAATAACAAGGTGTGAAGAAGAGCACGAACAACTTTTGGTCGATTGTTGAATGCAAAGCCTCAAAACAGGAAACTTGCCGCGGCAAGCAAGAAGAAAAGGGGCGTGACGAGATAAAAGTACAACATAATCGTGAAAACATCAAAGAACGTCGAGCATAGAATAAAAAATGGCGAGGACGCTTCAGTCCTCGTGCGCCATGAAAAGCCACCTCGGGCTCGTAATGTCCAGGGCGCCGCCGGCATAGTTGTCGAGCGAGGCCAGCGAGAAGCCGGCCCACTGCAGACCCCTCATAAGACTCTTGGACTCGCTCACCGGTATCTCGCGGTCGATGGCGATGACGACCTTGGAGCAGTCAAGCGGCCCGTCGGCCAACTCCATAATCGCAATGAGCCTGCAGAGTATAGACATCGGTTAGCATCGGTACAAAGGACGGCAGCGTCTGGGTTGGTCTCGACAGGGGTTCAAAACTTACGCCTGCTTCAGATCCCTGCCAACCACGGCCATGTCGAAAAAGACAAAGGCTGATTTCTCGCCGTTGCCGTCCTCGACCAGGAACCCACGGAAGCCGGCACCGCCGACATAGTCCCATATCTCCATCCAGGCCACGACGTTGGCGTCACCGGCGCAGTGGCCGCCGACGAGCCGATCCTGGTCGGGGAACGGGTAGTCGTTCGGCGGCGGGGTGCTGAGCTGCCCGTTGTCGGAATAGTGACTGTCGTAGTGTTGTTGGTGGTGGTAGTGGTGATGATTATCATAGACACCCGTCAGGCCGGAGCCGCGCGTTGCCGAGTTCCGCTCATCCCGGAACACGGCACGCATGGTCTCGCAAAAGAACCTCTCACATTCTTCCCTGATGCGTGATGTCGCCCCCCTTCGCTGCCTAGCGTTGTTGTTCCTGCCGGCGCCACCAGGGCCGGCGTTGGTCGTCGTCGCGGAGCGCTGCCTCTTGGATGACTTGTGGGTCAGGGCGAGCTCGTTGTCCGACGTTATGGCTGCGAGGGGGGGACTTGTTGGTGGCGACGGTAGTCCTGAGGAAGGGACCTCAGGAATACCACTCTGCCCCTGCCACGACGCGAACGATAGCGTGAGTTAGCTTTGGGGTTCGTCGGGACAAAGGAGCAGCCAGGGAGTCAACGAACCAGTCACGCTCGTGGTGCAGTAGTGGAGGCCCCGGAGCGAGGCCGAGGAGTCAACGAGGTAGCAGCTGGCAAGGACATTCGCCTGGCGGGCGGCGGCGTCCTCGCCGTAATTACTACTACTATAATTGGATTCCTGTTTCATTGACGCCATTGCTTCTGCTGGGTGATGCCACTTTGGGTGTCGTTGTTGGCGATGGGCGAGGTCGGGGTTCGGCGGGAACTGGGTGTTTGCGGACTGGCGGTGACAGTTGGGAGTCGACGCGGATGCTGAAAATAGGGTTATCGTCGGCAAATTGGCCAGGCAAGGCGGCAATTGGGACGAGAGCAGGGGGTTCTGACGAGGTATTTATCGTGGTCGGACTGGGGGTATTTTGGTGTTGACTCGGTTGGATGTTGGAGAAGCTGGGAGAGCCTGAAGAGGTGAGACACTTGGGGAGGTGGAAGTCCAGGAAGCAGCTGGAAAAGCGGAGAAGGGATTGAGTGTCGGCTGTGCGGGCGGTGGCAATCGATTTTTGCCGGGCCCCGCTTCTTTTCTGGCCGTTTCCAGAACTTTGGCGTCTGAATGGGCCTGTAGCGCCTAAGCGACGCCAATTTCCAGGTCCTTCCTCCACGTGGGAGCGCCAAATGGCCCTGTCTGTATGCACTGTCGCGCTGCAGGAGCGGGCCAAAAGTCAATCAACACGCACCCAGCATTGACGCTGGGCGAATCGCTCCAGTCATTATGGCCTCATTCTGGTTGTCCAGTTGCGGAAAACGGGTAGCATGGACCAAGGATGCCGCGTTGCCGCCCTCCATGGTCGCCATAAAGCAGCTTCCACGAATGGCATCATATCCAATCGGCACACTCGACAGTGCCTTGGCTTGGGGCGTCTTGGCCATCCTCACAGCCCAGCCGACACAGCCAGCCGTTTGCATTCCCTTAGCTAAATTTACTTCCCGTTTGCGCCCCGTTTTATGTAAGAATTCGTTCCTCGAAAAGAGCAGAGTCCACCATGTGACCATCCATTACCGTCCCGAGTTTCAGTCTCCGTCCGTGGATTTCGATGCCGCCATTGCCAAACAGGGAAGGGGCCCCGTCGCAAAAGAGGAGAAAGAGTTCTTTTGACTCGCCCATGGTGAAAAAGCCTGGTGGCTGCCGCATCAGCCGCGCGTGTGTTGGCCAAAGCCAGACTGACTTGCAAGCGCGCTTTGTTATCGGGAAGGCGTGTGTCGACCCTGCCCAAAGTGGACACCCAACGATCAGGGATCTTCTGGCGATAACATCTCGCACGACTTATTGGCCTCATGGACAACCCGACACCCATCATGCAGCCCAGATCCATAGCCACCCATCGTCCCTTATTTCAACACCCTTTTCGGGAACCACTCCATCCATGCCTCTATTGATTGCACTTGTCTTTATTGCAGATTGCATCGTGGCTGGTGGAGTCATCCTCGCTAGGGGTTCGCCATCTTGTCTTACTTTAATAAGTGCCAGCTCGGTACTGGGCTTGTCACCTGGACTTTGCAGAGTATTGTACCCAGCTGGCAGGAATGGCAGGCCAGAGGGCGAGACGACGACAAGCTCGCGTCCCCGCGTTGGTTTTGGCCGGACTCGGACGGAATCGTGCAACTCAAAGCGGGCACTGGCCGTCTCAGAGCCTAAATGGACGATCCGATGTGCCTGCCGACAGTGTACAGTAGTGGCTATGACCCCGCCGTCCGTGGGGTGTGTAGCGGCGGGGGTCAGAGCCGTCAAAGGACAAAAGGGGGAAGGAGGAAAAGTGCAGGGTTGGCTTGACAGCCCCTCCTTCGCAAGGACTCTGCTAGCCAACGCACCATGGCAAGTCCCGGCCAAGAAAGGCCACCCCGACCTGTTCAAGTGGACTGTGGGGGCGTCAGTGTCACCCACACCCCCGAGAAGGCCCCCCTTTTGTGGCAGATATCGGCTGAGAAAGAGGAGGAGGGAAACGAACAAAGAGAAAGCCGTCACGTTATGCGTCCAGGGTGGGTTTTGGTGTGTGGGCTTTCGCTGCTGTGGTTGGTGGACGCTGCCGCTGATATGGATCACGCAGCTGTTCCCCCTGATCGATAGCGACAGCGCCCAGGCAGTCAACTCAGGCAGGCGGGCAGGCGGTAGGGCAGGAGGCCTGGCGATCAAGGCGGCCTGACACCACGGGCCTCCATCCAATACCCAACCCTCCATGGGCACAGTAAAAAAAGCAAAAAAATCATTCAGCTCCTCTCTAGTTCTTCGCTCTCGCATTGCTTCGGTGTATCTTTGGCTTGAACGCACAAGAATACCCTCAATTCCCCATCCTCCCTCGTCAATCTTAGTCGTAGATTTATACCTTTCATCCCCATCCACTTCGTCCAGCAAAGTCGCACAGTCGGGTCTAGCCTGTCGCCCGTGACGTCAGAATCTCACACGCCCAGATCACGACGTCCTGAACGGGCACTCGTGAAGCGTCGCTCTCAGACTCGTCTTCGCTGGCCCGAGGCCTAGTCCAACCTCGTCTCCTCTTGCCGGAGTGTGCATACTCCTCCCTCCTGCTTCCCCTCCCTCAGGACTCGTGCCATCATCTCCGGCGGATCCGGCGGCTTACACAGCGCCCCCAGCCAGCCCACTTGACCTGGTACCACCACCTCCAGTTCTACGGACAAGCAAGCAAGCATAGCACAAACGCAACGCAAGAGGCTTCCTGGCTCGTGGTCGGGCGCCAGCGCAACCTGCCGCCCACTTGCATCGCGATCGGGCACGCGAGAGGGCGACGCACATGCCTCTCTGGGGCACTTGCTTCCCCTGTCGCCCTGATTTGTCTGGCTTGCATTTCTAATACATCCCTTGTCCACCCCCCCTCCGTCGCCCTTTTAGTGTCTGGTATTTGTTCTTATTTTCTTTTTTTTTATTCCCTCCTCTTTTTTCTTCTTCTTTTTCTTCTCTCTCCTCTCGCCCAAATGGAGAGCGCATACTACGTCGACACGGGCTTGCTTTCCCCCGACGCGACAGGCATACAAATCATGTCCATCTTTGGCTCCAGCATCGTGACCTCGAGCAACAGGAGCGGCCGCTCCTCTGCGGCGGCGTCTGCCGCCGCCGCCAAGCCGTCCACAACAGCTGCTGCTGCTCCGCCCTTCCCCACATTCCTGCTACCCGCACTGCCGCTGCAGCTGTTCCGCCGCCGACAAAAGAGCCACCACCAACACCAGTCGTCGTCGTCGTCTTCGTCGTCGGTCGTGCGTAATGATAATAGTAGTAGTAACAACCCCCAAAACGAGGGAGATTGTGAGAGCGACAGCGACAGCGACGACGGGGGCGCGCCCTCGCTGAGCGGCTCCGTCCACTCGGTCCCGTCGGAGACAAGCAGCAGCGGCGGCTCGGACACAACACAGCAGCACCAGGGGCGGCCGCGGCGACAACAACCCCGCCGACGCCTGGCGCCGCCGACGCCCGCGACGCTGCGCTGCGGCATCTGCGCGACAGACCTGGCGTTCGCGTCGCAGATCGTGTCCAAGGGCTTCACGGGCCGGCACGGGCGCGCATTCCTCGTGGCGCCCGCGTCGCCCAGCAACGTCCCCGTCCCCATCCCCGCCGCGGGGCGACTGTCGTCGTCGTCTTGGTCGTCGTCGGCGGCGGCGGCGGCGGGGGGTGACGGCGGCGGGGAGCTCGTCAACATCAAGGTCGGGCGGTCCGAGAACCGGCAGCTCGTGACGGGGTCGCACGTCGTGGCCGACATCAGCTGCCGCGTGTGCGGCACAAAGGTCGGGTGGAAGTACGTGGACGCGCGCGAGTCGCAGCAGAAGTACAAGGTCGGCAAGTTCATACTCGAGACGGCCCGCGTCGTCGCCTGGCGAGGCTGGGACGCCGGGCGGCTGCCGGCGGCGCCGGCGGGCGACGATGACGGCGACGGTGATTATGATGACGGCTCCGACGAGGACGACGACGAAGGGCTGGACTACCGGGAGGACGAGGGCCCATGGTCAGCCAACGAAGGTAGCACCGGCAATTGCGGCCACAAGGACAGGGCTGACGGCCCCGACGACGAGGAGCCCGTCGTGTTCGACTCGGACGACGACGACGAGTGCGAGGACATCTTTGCCGGCACGTGGAATGCCGAGGCGGTCGCCAAGAGGCGCAAGATGAGGCGCGCGCTCGTCGGCCGTAGGGTGTGAGCGAGAGGCAGGATGGCCGGCTGACGGGATTGACGACGGACGATTTGCTGAACAACTTGATACCAGTATGCTTTTGATACCAGGGATGCGCTATGCCGGCCGCCTTTTGCTCCCTCGCGGGCGGCGGTTCGACTGGTGGCATGGGCGGGATTCGCGGAGTCTGACGTGCATTTTATTGATACCTCGGGGGCTGGATAACTGGCGTTTCTTGTATTTTCTCCTGAAGGCCTTGATCACTCCTTTATGATATGACAGACACCTCCATAGGTAGGCAGGCTATGACCGCCCGCCAGGGATAATATACCGAAGGTTGGATTCACGAATCAGTTTTGGTTTGATGCTTGACGTTTGCTGTGTTGCCACGCCCTGTGCACAGGTTTCCTAAGAGGCAGTTATAGTGCTGGAGGCGTAGCCACGCTTGGCATTTCTATCTGAAGCAACAAAAAAGTCGTGATTCATATCGCACTCTCTTTGGACCATCATTACGTAATTGCGTCTCGACTAGGAGCACGAACTCCTTGATTCCACTGCGGGGTAAAACATATCACATTGGTAGAACAAAGCCATCAGATTAATCACCGTGGACTCATCAGGCAGTGTGCCACCAACCACAAGAATACAGCTCGAGATAATTACGTGCCCGTTCGAAATCATAACTACATCGTGGCAGGCACCCACACTTATTTCTTGGGCTCCTCAGCCACGTAGTGTAGGTATGCGCCCAGGAGCTTAATGCCCTCGATGTAGTTGCGCTTGTCGAGCTTCTCGTTGATGGAGTGAGCGCCATCGGTAGAGCTTCCCATGGGGAGCAGGAGGACATTCTTGCCTGTGGCCTGCTCAAAGGTGAGGGTGACGGGGATGCTGCAAATTACGTACGTGTAAGCGATAATATCTCGAGGCATGGAGAAGGGGAAGAAACATACCTGCCACCCTCGCGGGTGAAGTCAGGGGCAACACCCCACACGCGCTCGACGGCCTTGGCGGCGGCCGTGAAGTTCCAATGGTTGGGGCTGGCCACCCACCACTTGCCCGTGTGCTGGGCGTAGACATTGAGGGTGTTCTTGCTGCCGAGCTTGGCAAACTGCTCCTTGACGTACTTGTACACGAGCTCGTTCGTCTTCTCGATCTCCATGTCGGGAACCGTCCGGATGGAGAACTTGCCAATCACCTTTGCAGGAATGACAGTCTTGGCTCCAGGCGCCGAGAAGGCACCCTCGACACCGTGGAGGGACAGAGAAGGGTAGCGCCACCGCGCCATCAGTGTCGGCTTCTTGTCCTCGAAGATGGTCGTCTTGGAGCCGAGCGACTCGTGCAGCGTCTCCATTGTGAATGAGATGTTGTCGTACAGAGTCTCCTCCTCGGCTGTGATAGGCGCGACCTGCTCGTTGATTCCGGGGATCAGGATCTTGCCCGACGTGTCCACCAGCGTGCCCAGCACGCGCACCAGATCAGTCATGGGCTCCTGGGCGGTGCCACCGAAGACGCCAGAGTGCAGGTCAGCACCGGGGCCGCTGATCTCGACGCTGTAGTAGTTGCAACCACGCAGGCCGTAGGTCAGGCAAGGCTTCTCAGTGCCGAGCCAGTAGTTGTCCGAGATGCAGACAGCCTCGGCATCCTTGAAGAACTTTGGCGCTTCGGCAATGATGAGGTCGTCAAGACCCTCGGAGCCGTACTCTTCCATGCCCTCGAAGCACATGAGTAGGTTGACGGGGAAGTCGACACCAGCCTTCTGGTGGGCCTCGATGGCGTTAAGCCAGCCGAGCACCGGGCCCTTGTCGTCGGTGCTGCCGCGGCCAAACATGCGGCCGTCGGAGCCGACGGTGAGGTCAAAGGGCTCCGTGGCCCAGCCATCCGACTTCTCAGCGGGCTGGACGTCGTAGTGGCCGTAGACGAGGATCGTGCGCTTGGCAGGATCGGAGCCGTAGCGGGCCAGGACAACCGGCGGCAGGTCCAGGGCAGGGTTGTCGGGCTGCTTTCCGAGCGGGCGCAGCTCTACGTGGGCACCAAGAGTCTTGAGCTCCGACTCGAGGAAGTGGGCCATGCGAACGACATCGGGTCGGCGGGCGGCGTCCGATGACACAGACGGGATGGCGACGGCCGCGCGGAGCCTCTCGATGAAAGCATCCGACAGGCTGTCGACCTGGGAGAAAAAGGAGTCGAGCTTGGGAGCCATCTTGCGGGCTTGATGGGTGCGGATGGCGTCGGTCAGATAGGGTCGGGTCTGGGTGCTGTTGCTGGTAATGCGGCGACAGTGCTCAGCAGTGTCGCGGGGGGAGGGCAGGACAGTCGATCGTTCGAGCAAGTATCGATTCGAGAAGGGTGAGGGGTGGTGCGAGGTGGAAAGAGGGCGAAGGCAGTAAGGGATGCTACTTCTAAAGTTGCCGTGCAGATTGCGCCCAGTACATCCCAGGTGGGAAGGTCGCACACCCAGGGCCAATGTGCGGGGCATTGATTTGACTTGACTTGCTGATGGCTCAGTGTGAGCACCCGGCCGTGGCCAGACTCGACGTTCGGCCGAAGAGGGGCAATCTGATGACCTCCCCTCCAGCCCAAGAGTTGCTGCGCGGTTGGCAGCGGTTCAATGCTTGGGTGCGGGAGGGACGCACGGGCAGTGACGCTGTGAGGTGGGGTACGATGGCCGGGGCTCGTCTTTGGTGCCAATCTTCAAACACATGTCACGTGATACTCAGCTTCCTTAGACTACATTTTTTCTGCGTTAGTTGCGAAGGGGTCCGTCATTTGGGAACGGCCGAAGCCCTTCAATCACTGGGGAGCAACCTCGAACAACAGTATCCCAATCATTCCAAACTTCGAGTGGTTGATATGGTGGTTGATGCCCAAGTAGAGGTTGGGTGGCTGACGTCACTCCTGTCAACATGCAAACTCCTTGTGTCTCAACAATCTCGGTTTCCGCTGCTGCCTTTGGAATGCGCTTCGTGGCTTGTGCCCCAAAAAGCCGAAAGTTCTGAGCGTTCGCTTGAGGCTGAGAGCCACTCCACAGTAGTCAGCTCAGCCAAGGTGGGCAAAGAGATCAAATAGGGTGGGACCCATTCATATATCATTTACTGATTTGTTTTATAATACAATTATAATTTTTAATATTTTACGTACATATTTTAATAATTGAGCTCTATTATAATTATTAATATATATAAATTACTTACGTTGAATTTTATTTACCGTTTATTTAAAAATGCATACGCGTGCGTTGCATATGCATTTTTACACACCCTGCCACCTTGGCTGAGGGTTGGGGTCCACTTTTTCCCACCAAGGCGTTGGCCCCTGACCCACTTAGGATTACGCCAAGTCGACGTCCATTGGTCGGGTGGTCGCCAGGCACAACAACAGCTGGAGCCGAGGCCCAGAAGGAAAGCGACCACATAAGACAAGCGACAACCCCAGACCTCGACGCCGTCAATATACCGGCTCTTCCAGCCAGTCGATCCATGTCATCACCACTTGCGCGATCCGTCCTGTCCAGGTGTAGCTCCGCCCTCTTCTGCTACGCGCGCGCTGTTCCACTTTGGGTCGTCGCCCTCATTGTCCTGTTCATTGGCGCGTTGAGAGCGCGCGTTTCCGGTGCGGCCCTTGGCTGGGGCGCTGGGAGTGCTAGTGGAGGCGTGGCTTCCGGCCGCGATCACGGCGAGAAAGGAACAGCAAACCCCCTCACTGGTAACACACGCAAGACGCGCGAGTAGTCAAGGTCACCCAGGATGGCTGTCGGCTCGGCGGGACTGCTGGTGCCAGTGTTTGCGCCCCTCACGGCGCTGACGCTGGCATATACGGGCCACCAGCTCTCGAGGCTGAACTGGATGTCGATCATTTACAACTTCCTCACTGGGCCGGGGCGGGTCAGTCGCATCACCTTGCTCATTTTCCTGGTAATGAACCGGAAGAACCTGCCATTTGCATGGACCACACGGGTCCTCGCGTCACTACTTCGCCATGCCGCCATCCGCCGGAGCCCGGGCCCGCCCCGCGTGCTCTACCACTACTCCATCACGAGGACCCACGCACCCCTACTCGAGACGGACTACAACTTCCACAAGTCCAACTCGACCTACTTTTCTGACCTCGACGTCTCGAGGTCGCACCTTCTCATGCACCTCTTTGCCCAGGGCATGGAGCGCGTGACAAAGAATGCCGCCTACAAGGTGGTGAAGGACAAGGAGGGGAACCTGATCAAGGGCGGCTTCGGCATAGGCTTGGGGTCTGTCTTTTGCTCGTTCAAGCGCGAGATCGCGCCCTACAGCAAGTATGAGATGTGGTCACGCGTCCTGTGTTTCGACCGCAAGTGGCTCTACATCCTGACGCACTTTGTCGACGCGGGAAAGGTGCGTCCCACCCGCTGGGACGGCAAGGGCTTGTTTCGCGGCGCTGGAAAAGTTAGATCCGTTGGTGGCGACACATCTGCGAAGAAGACTACAGGAAACGTGGACGATGACTCGGTCGACCCCTCCATCGCCACCACGACAGACTTTCAGAAACACATCTTCGCCACGGCAGTCTCCAAGTACGTCTTCAAGCTCGGCCGCTTCACTGTGCACCCGGCTATCGTCATCGAGGAGAGCGGCCTGCTGCCCGAGCGGCCTGGGGGCTGGCGGGGTGGCCCGTCCGAGACTGGCACCCCGGAGGACCTCTCTGGCTTCGAGGAGGAGCTGGCATTGTCTGGTTCGGACGAAGAGAGTTGGGACTGGAGGAGGACCGAATGGGAACGGAGGAAAGGCATGGCCTTCGCCGACCACTTTGCCGCCCTCGACGGCATGCACACACTCTTCGACGGTGGGGACGATGGTGCTCTTGGCCACTTCAGGCCTGCCTAAGCTCGGGCGACGGCGCACCGTCCCACTAGCAGTGGGTTCGCGACAACACATCAACCGCCTGGATACATCGGCACCTTTGGCATCTGGGGTCAGCCCGCTCCCCGGATCTCCACTTGCTTTTGCCACTTGATTGTTGGTGATGTGGGTCGTTGTGCGGACGGTTGTTGTTCTATTGCTTTTGTGCAGTTGGAATTCCAAGGACATTTGATGGATTATGCTGTCAAGTTGGTGTATAATAACAAAATCTTCCCTTTGTTATAGAAGCGTTGTGTGTTGAAGATCGATCGGATTCGTGGGTGTTGCTGTTTTTACTTTTGGGGTGGGATTCGCTTGGGAGGGCTAAACCCGGTTGGTGGATTGAAACTGGAGTGTTTTTACTAGATCTAGAAATAAAGCCTGGGCGACCCCTCACTTTTTTGAGCCAGGTACAGCCACCAGGCCGCGTTTGTCCGGCTTTACGGAGGTGTGAGGCTTAAATAATCTACAGTGGGGAGGTCACTCGTGAAGCGAGGGCAGGGGACAGGGTATGCACTACCATCAGCAAGGGAAAGAAAGAGGAAAAACCCACCTCCTAACAGGGGTTAAAACTAGAAATCACAAGGGCGGCCAAAATGGGGGTCACGTGCTGGCATAAAGTTACTGCCATTATTAAAGTTGGTGAAAAAAAGGAAAAACCAAGAAAAGCTTTCAAAGGACGAAAAATTCTGAAGTTTCGTAACATCCCCCAAATCACCACAACCCCTGCGATCTCCAGTTTCAACCCCCCTGTTACCCCTTTGTTACTTGGTGGGTTTTTCCTCTTTCTTTCCCTCGCAGATGGTAACCAATCGATTGAAACGCGTGCGGGCTGATTCGAATTGGTACACGGCCAGGCCTGTGATTGTTTTTGAAAAAAAAAAAAGGATTGTAGGCTAGGCCTTATTTGGTAGGGGCTGAACATGGGCTGCTACCTCGAGGGTGGCGATTTTTTTCGCCTCCTATCTCCGTATGCCGCGGGAGTGGCGCCTATGGCGTCTAACCCAACGCCCTGAACATTCATGCCATGCGGCACCCAAAATACATCAGTTGTGAGACGACGTTGCACGCTTGGGTGTGCGGACCAGGGGTTGCGACGGGTTGCGGCTCCGAGGGGGGGGGGGGGGGGGGGTGGGGGGGGGGGGGGATCTCAGGATGCCAGCCTGACTCGCATCGGCTCCGCCTCCCAGGATCAAAGTGCCAAGCTGGGACAAGGACGCTGTCGCAAATGTCGCTCTGGAAATAGGTCTCCGCGATATCACGATCCGGCGTGCCCACCGCTGTGTCACTCCCCTGCGCGCCCGGGTCCCCTCGTGGGTCACCCAGCGCCGGGGGAGAGGCCGACGTTTACGCATATCTACTGCGGCATGCCCCGTGAGGTGTGGCCTTCCTGGCCTGAATTTTTTCTTGTTTTTCTTTTTCTTTTCTTCGACAATAATCGGTGACGAAGAGAATAATGCGTACTAAGGGGGAGAACACACACACGCCGGCAGCATCACAGATATCCACATCCCACGCTGGCGATCTGCTGGCAGCATGGCGTACGATCCGGTGGTCGCTTCGGTAACGCTCACGGGCAGCTTGCTGTCCTTAGTCGCATCAACATGCGTCCTCATCTCGTTCACTGTATACCACAAGGAGCAGCGGTCCTTCAGACACGCCCTCATCCTTAACCTGACACTAGCCGGTAAGAAATGGCTAGATGGTTGTTCCCTACGGCCGTCGCCGAATGGCCGGTTTGCTAACTAGACCACAAACCTCCAGAGTTCATAAACTCGCTCGACAACTCGATATCGGGCATCATCTACATGCGCGGCCGCGAGCTCTTCCCGGGCGCGTCCTGTGTCGTCAACGGCCTGGTGGGCCAGATCTCGGTGCAGGCCGTCGACTTCAGCATCCTCGCCATCGCCGTCGTCACGCTCCTGACGGTGACGCGCACCACCTTCATGCCGGGCGTCTCGCGCCTGAGAAAGATCCTCGTGTGCCTGTCCGTCTGGGTCGTGCCGCTGACGACGGGCCTGACGGCGACCGCCATGGGCGCCATGACGCCCGTCGGCACCAACTGGTGCTGGATCACGGCCGCGAGACCCGACCTGCGCTACGCCCTCACGCACGGCTGGCGCTTCGCCATCATCTTTGGCACCGTCGCCATCTACCTGTACATCTGGTACTACCTCCGCAACCACTTCCGGTCCATGGGGATGGCCCTCAAGACGGGCTGGTCGCAGCTCTCGGCCGCGGGGCAGCAGACGGGCGGTAGCGGCAACAACAACAACAACAACAACAACAACAACAACAATTACCCGGGCGCGCTGGGGGTGCTCGGCCCCTTCCAAACAGATGAGCAGGGCGGGAAGGAGAAGGAGGAGGGGGCGTCAGTGGAGACGGTCGAGAACAGGCAGAGGCAGGACAGCCTGGCGCGGGGGCGGACCGACTCGCTGAAGCCGCTCGCCCTCCCGCCGGCGGCGGCCAGGATGGAGAGCAGGGGCGGGCTCGGCATGTCGTTCTACAACGACAACCGCAGCAGCCTGGGCGAGGAGTACGAGGACCGGGAGGGGCTCCTGACGCCGATCGAGAGGGAAAGGCTCGCGGACGAGGAGCTGGCGAGGAAGCAGCGGCTGCAGGCCAGGGCCGGCAGCAAGCCCGGCGCACTCACGTGGGACCCCAGGATTCCCAACACGCCGCTAGGCTCGGCCCCCCACACCCCGAACGGCACCCACACCATCCGGATCGGCTTCGCCGTCACCACCGATAGCCCGCAGCTGTCCCCCCGGGGAAGCCGGCCGGCGAGGCCCGAGCCCGCGCACAGGCGCAGCGTGTCAGACGCGAGCGGCCTCGCCGCCGCCGCCGCCGCCGCCGACCCCGCACAACAGCAGAGCCACATGAGGAACGCGTCCGACTCGACCCTGCTCACCGACGACAGCCGCGCGTCCGTGGGGTCCACGTACAGCCTGTTCCCCAACGCAAAGACCAGCGCGACCCGGCGGTCCGGCCCGGCCGAGGGCTTCGGGCCCTCGGCGCCACAGCCGCAGCACCAAGACGAAGCGCACGGCAAGGGCGCGGCGGCGGCGGCAGCGGAGGACTCGAGCAGGGAGTGGCCGTCGGTGTTGCCGTGGAAGTCGCAGGCCACGGGGGCGGCGGCGCCGTCGCGGCGCCCGACCAACGTCAGCGAGTTCCCTATGCGGCAGGAGAAGCGGCACGTAGACCGCGAGGTGCAGCGCATGCTGCTCCTCAACGCGTACCCGATCCTCTACGTCCTGCTCTGGATACCCGGGCTCATCAACCGCCTCATGGAGGCGGCCGGCCACCCGCTCACGGGCCGCGCGGCCCAGGCGCTGCAGAGCTCGAGCCAGTACATCGGCCTGGCCAACGCGCTGACCTACGGGTTCAACCGCCACATCCGGCACAGGATCACGGGCGACCTGCTCCAGAAGCTGAGGCTTGAGAGCGTCAAGGAGATAATAAGCCCGAGACCGAAACAGGTTGGCTGAAATGCTCTGTGTTGTATTACTTGTTTCTTTTGGTCGGGGAACGGAAATTTTTGCGAGCCTACGTTCAAGTGTGCCTTCGGCTTGTATAGTGAGTGCACTTGGCGTTGTCTTGGGTAGCCCAGCATTGTTGTTTTCTTCCCTTTGTCATTGATACCATAGCGACTGCTTTACACTCTCTATACTGTACTAACTCTGTCGATCTTATTATTGGGATCACTCTTTTGCCTGCTTCGATCGCATCAACGTGTTATGAGCGACCTTCGCGGCCCCGCTCGCGCTCCGGGACGGGGTTCGGACAGTGCATTGGTCGCGAGCTGACTGCAAAGAGGGGATAAGCCTCGGATTTAACAAGGGATGGAGCGAGGAGACCTAGAGATACGTGGGAAGGTGCCTGGAGCCCTACCCTACCTCCATATTGTATTAATAATTTCGAATGATAAATCATCAAAAACAAAAACATACAACTGTTCTCTTGAACCCGGCGCAGTCAAGAGCCGCTAGCGGGGCCAAGTGGATGGAAATTGGCACATGGGTACAGAGCACTGGAGTGGATCTCCCGCAGGCGGCAAGAAATTGGACGTAGATCAAAAGAGGGGAACATCCGACTTTCAGAAGATGTGTAATATTGGAGGGGACTCGCCGGTTACCCGGGCGGCGGTTGTTATTATATCCCTTTAGAAAGAACAAAATATATCCAGGGATAGTTGTATTTTTCGTCATCCACGGGATCCGGGATGAGGGGCACATATTTGGCAGCCCATTCGTCTTGGAGCACTTCATCGCTCGAATTTTTTGGCGGATACCGGACGCGCTTGGCCTTGCAGCATTCCCAATAGGCCGGGTACCAGCCCGACTGGGCCCAGTCGATGACGGCCGCCACTTTGGGATTGGGGCCTAGCGATAGAAGGATGTTTGGCGCGACAAGGTCGTTGTGGGTAAAGGCAATAGCAACATCGGCCGGGGGGATTTCTATATCGCAGCCGTCCTGGAACTGGCGTACCGCATCAGGGCCACAAAAGGGGCCGGCCAGATCTGGATGGCACCGAAGGAAGATGTCGTTCAAGCGTCTGTCGCCTAAACTTCCTAATAATTCGTCGATAGGCTCCCTGGTTAGACGCTTGCCTTGCGTGGTGGAACAGGAAGAACTTAACAATATAGGGCTCGTTTGTGGGGGGTTTCAAACTTTTCCACGCGTGGGCCATTTCTCTGAGGTCTTGACAGATAGCAAACCTCTGACCTTCGGTCATGCCACCCCACAGCTCCTGGAGTGGCTTGCCGTCGACGAGGGCCATGTAGATAAACCCCTGTTCACCATCCTCGGCCCACCCGAAAACTTCGGGGATGGGAACACGTCCGTCAAGCTGCTCACGAACCCATATTTGCGTTTCCAATTCCACCCGGGTAACGTCGGCGCCATATTTCACCAAAAGCCCCATCGCCGGCACCATGACAGGCGAAGGGCGGTAAAAGTTGTTGGCGCGATCGTTTCCAGACTGCAGGTTCAGAGCTCGGACCTCTGAGGGGCTGGGGAGCGTGGGTGCTCGTTGCTCCTTGAAGAAACGAGATTGCGGGAAGCCTATCGGCTGGCTGGCCTGCTCGTCTTGATCTGGCATCTTCTCTACCCTCGCGCTTGTAAATACGTGGGAGGAAGAGGACAGCAGGAGACCAGGGGAATCGAGGTAGTAGCGGCGGTCCGTTTGTGATGGCCGCTCTGGAATGATCCTACCGAGGTAGGTGTAGGGAGGGGCAGAGGGTGGGGCACCAATGGCGGGCGGCTATTGGCCAGGGTGTTAAGTCCCGGATCCCAAATGCTCTTTGCTAGGCCTCCAGAAACGGACGCTTCTGTTCCCCTTCGCTCCGAGCTAAGCGTTCCTTTACCGCAGAGTCCGTTTGCCGCGCCCTACCCTACACACCCTTCCAACCAAGTAGCAACGGATTTGTCAACAAGCCGGTCGGCCTTCTGGTGGGCCCGAGAAACCGCCCGGAGCCTGATGATGACTGACGACTTTGCTCTCTCGGGACCAAAGCATCACGCAAGGCAGCCAGTCTTGGTCAGCATAGCAGCCTGTAGGGCCGCCAGTATTCGCAACATGTGACAGCCTGTGAGGCCGTCGGACTTGGGGACACACAGCGACGTCTAGGATCCCCTGTCTGTGTGATGATATAAAAACCTCAATGCCACTTACCATCCTGATGCGAGAATATGGTGATGGTCCTTAGACAAGGGTGCCTTGATACCTTAGCCTGACCAGCAGCACTTCCGCCTCGGGACGTTCCATCTAGCCCAGACCCCATCAAAGTTCTGGACTTCCCAAAATAACCCGCCTTATTTAAGCTCTTCACTACAGCCTCAGCCTTACCATGGCGTCACCCAAGCTCATCGTCTTCGGCCCCACTGGCGACATCGCCAGCGTCGCGGCCCTTACGGCCCGCGGCCTCGGCGCCCACGTCGTGCTGGCCATGCGCGACCCGTCCAAGCCCATCCCTGGCCTGGCCGCGGAGCTCGAGGCCCGCGGCGGCTTCGAGCGCGTGCGCGCCGACCTGGCCGACCCCGACTCGGTCGCCGCCGCCGTGACCACGACGGGCGCCACGCGCGCCGTCTTCTACGTCGACTTTGCCAGCACCGACGGCATGCTCGCCACCGTGCGCGCGCTGCACGGCGCGGGCGTCGACTCCCCCGTCCTGATCAGCAGCGCCTCGGTCCACAACCGCGGCGTCCCGCTGGAGCGGCTGGTGACGCACGGCGCCGACGAGCCCATCGCGCGCGCGCACGCCGCCGTCGAGCTCTCCCTGCGCGCCGTGTACGGGCCCGGCGGCTACGTCGCGCTGCGTCCCGGCTTCTTTGCCAGCAACTCGCGGCGCTGGCTGGGCGGGGGCCAGCTCGCGAGCGGCCGCGTCACGCTCGATTTCCCAGAGCGCGTGTTCGACTGGATCGCGCCGCCCGATATTGGGCGCGTCGCGGCGCATGTGGCGCTGCGCGCCGGCGGGGCGCGGGAGGTGGTGGCCGAGGCCGGCGGCGCCGAGGGCATCGTGCTGATGGGCCCGCGGCTGCTGTCGGGGCGCGAGGGGACGCAGGTTATCGCGAGGGCGGCTGGGTTCGGCGAGGTCGGGATCGAGGAGATTCTGGACGAGGATGCTGCGGTGCGGCACATGGTTGAGAAGCAGGGCCTCCCCGAGATATTCGCCCGGACGCTGGCTAAGCACGGCGTGGATTACGCCATGACGGAGGAGAATACGACGGTCGGGCCGGCGAATGTTGTCAAGTTTGGTGATGGGAAGATCACAAGTCTGGAGGGGTGGGCTGCAGCGCACAAAGAGGCGTTCAACTGAGCGGTAGCAACTGGTAGTCGTTATGAAATTATACCAAACTGTGTGTCTTTCTTAGACTTGTGTTTGGCCATTCAGATATCAGCCACACATTGGAGCCTTACCATTCGGGTGATACCGCACCGAGATAAACCTGTCCAATGGCAAATCGCAGACCACGTGTGCGGCTGTCGTTGATGCCTGGCCAACTGGCGACTGCGCCCAGCAGGACGGACTGCCACTTTCCCCTCCATCACTGCACGTTTCCCCCCACTTTTCCATCTTCCTCCCCAGCATCATCTGATATCGCTCGCCTCCTCGTGCTGCTCAATCCAGTCGCTTAACCGCCCATCGTCTACCACACCCTGCCCTTCACCTAATCACGCATTCAAATCCACAATGGAGGCTCTCGCTGCTTTCGGGCTTGCGGCAAACATTGCCCAGTTCGCCGAGCTTGGCTACAAAACAGCCAAGACCATGCGCGAGGTGTACCGCAGCATAGACGGGCTCACAGCGGAGCACACCGACTTTAAGGATGCGGCCAAACAGGTCAAGGCCATTAGCACTGAGCTCAAGAAAAAGGTCGGGACTGTTGGGAGCAACTCCGAATTGGAGGGCCTGCTCCAGAAGTCAATCGACGCATGCGATGCCCTCCTGAAGGAGGTTGACGGCCTCAAGTTCGACGGCGGCTCGGCCTATGTCGGCGAGCGGCTCGCAAAGCTCATGATGGCAATGTGGGCCATCCGGCGGAAGCGCAAGGTGGAGGCACTCAACTCTCGGATCGTTGAGATTCGGCAGCGGCTTCTCCTCGCCATCCAAAACCTGATCCTTGAGCAAGGGGGCGAAGTCATGCAGTCCCTTGATGGGCTCAGCGATACGGTCAAACAGTCGCAGGAATGGCACAAGACACACGCAGCGCTCCTTGATACAAAGCTCCAGGAGCTCGGGAGCCAGCTGGCCGCTCGCAAATCATGGGAGAAGTCCCACGATGACGCATTTATGGGCTTTTCCCGAAGTCTTGTCAACTTTGTGGACCAATGGCGCAACCACAGTACCATCTCGGAGATCCTGAAGAGTTTGCACTTCAAGCAGCTGAGGGAACGCCAAAGCGATATCCCGACGGCGCACAAAAACACATTTCAGTGGATGTTCAACGATGATGGCGGGAAAGAGTTCAGGACTTGGCTGGGCGGACCCTCCAAGGGCACCTTCTGGATCACAGGCAAGGCCGGCTCTGGGAAGTCGACGCTGATCAAGTTCCTTCTTGAACACCCCGAGACCAAAAGGCTCTTGGAGCAGTGGGCTACCTCGAGCGCCCACAAGCCGCTGCTTCTTGTGAGCCATTTCTTCTGGTCAAGAGGCGGCAAGCTCCAAAGGGCGCACGAGGGTCTGCTACGGACAATGCTCTTCCAGATCTTGGTTGCGCACCCCGAGCTCATCAAAAAAGTGTGCCCTCAGCGCTTTTTGCCCTTTCGCTGTCTTGACTCCTGGACTTTCAAGGAGCTGCGAGACGTATTTGGAGAACTTGCGAAGATCAACTCATTGCCGTCTCGGATATTCGTCTTTGTGGATGGCCTCGACGAGTTTGAAGGCGAGCCTGCCGAGATAATCGATGCTGTCCGGGAGATTTCTTCTTGCGGAGATATCAAGCTGTGCTGTTCGAGCCGGCCTTGGACTCAGTTTGAAGAGGCGTTCGAATCGGCAGCAGGCCGAATAAACGTCCACCAACTGACGGAGAACGATATAAGGCGCTACGTTGACGACTGCTTCGGAGATGACCACAAATACCAGAACTTGTGCAGAGAAGCCCCATCCGAAGCCAGTAATCTGGTTGAGGCGGTGGCATCTCGTGCCGAGGGAGTCTTCTTTTGGGTGTTTCTTGTGGTCAAAGATCTCCTGCGAGGGCTAGACCATGGAGACAGCCTTAAGATCATGCGCCAGAGACTCGACCGCCTACCAAGTGATCTAAACGAGTTTTTTGCGACCATGTTGCAGTCGATAGAAGGCGTATATCACGATGAAGCGTCTCTTATCTTCCAATGCCTCCTCGTTTTCGACTCCGCCTTGCCGGTCGCCTTGTTCACAGCCATGCACGAGCTCGAAGAACTATTCGAGGATTTGAAACGGGGCGCTTTCTTCGGCAACCTAGGCATTCAGAGCAACACCACCCCACAATCAAACTGGGCTCGGCGCAAGAGGGCACAGGGGGCTCGGCCCCCAGTAGACCCTTATCCCAAGTACAAGGATGCGGAGAACTCTTTCGGGAGAAGAATGCAGAGGTCGACTGCTTATTCCGCAAAAAGAGTCTACAATCACGATGAATTGCAGAAAACAGCCCAAAGAATACGGCATCGATGCCGCGATTTAGTCCAAGTCTGGGATTCAACGGAGGAAACCGAGCTGTGGCGTCCTCGGGTGGGCTTCATCCATCGCACCGTCGTCGACTTCTTGAGTGCGTCGGACTCACATGCTCTGCTTCCGACGTCAAACCCACCTGGGTACCGCGATTTTGTCCTGGCTCGCTCATACCTCCAATGTGCCATGGTCTTTTGTCAGTCATCAGAAGTATTTTGCGAGTGTATCAAATCGGTTTTGTATCTCGCCGCAGATGACGACTCTGACAGGGCCATCTTCGTCCTGTTCGGACTAGAGCGGCTCTTCCACATATTGCTCAGCGACTTCGAGCAGAACAGCATCATCGAAGGATCAGGAGCGGAGCTCGAATCATTCAGTCACATGTACCACACGGGCTTCTGGGGGAACGAAGCGTCGCTACCCGGCAGTCCCGTAGCAAGTGTGCTGACGCAAGTGGTCTCACGGCTGGGGCTGGTCAAGCTATGGCGGCTTCTGCCTAACACGACGCCACATTTTGCGGTTTGGGAAAGAATCTTCTTCGAAGCCCTACAGCCAGTCCTCAATACAAACGTGCATGGGGACCCCGACTTCCCAGGCTCTAAGATAATCGACCTTGCCGCCTTACAGTACCTTATTAGCAGGGCAATGGAGATTTTGGGCCTGGCGGGCACCCAAGCTCTATTTAACCAAGATCCAAGCAGTCGGCTCGTGCCCGACGGCCTCCATCAATTCCTGCCCGGCGGCCAATATCAATTCATACCATTCGAGAGACTTTTTTGGTCCTCATTTTCTAAGGAACACAATCTCTGGACCCCAAACGATAGCCCAGACAGTAGTCTTTGGAAATGCTTTCTCCAGTGTCTCCAAGGTCATCAGGCTCCAGACAATGGTTTTGAAGTTTGCAAACTCCTGTTAGAGTGTCATCTGGGATCAAAAGCGGCGGTTGCAGGGATGGGAAAGCCTGGTTGCATCTCTGGGATTGAGGAGGGCACTAGCGGGGATGAGAAGAGCGATTTGCGTGCGGCTGAATCATGGTTTCAGCAGATTTACGGGAATACGCGTGCGCTGCAGCTTCGGCGACTTCTCGAGCAGCAGGACACTGTTGGCTCCTTATCTCCGTCCGTATGAGTGGAGAAACTTTGGAAGAGGCCTCTTTTGGAAAGCGGCCAGGCTCGGCTAAGCAAGCAAATACGGTGATTTGGGCGTGTCACAAAGGAGGCTATCACCAAAGGCCGGCACACTGTCCCAGGCCTTGGCGCGGAGGATCTGCACGGGCACCGGTGCGGCGCACCGGTGCCGCACAGGGCAGATGCTTACCGAGCACTCGTCGGCAATGACAGGGGTGCGGTAACAGGTACCGCACCTACAAGAGACGGGATCTGGGTATATAAGGAGGGCACAGGGCCCTCGGCCCTGTGCCCGTCCCCCTTTCCCCTTCAGAGATCTAGCTCAATATACAATAGACCCTATCTTGCACTGTTTGTCCGTCACAGGGCGTGGGGATGTTAGTTGTTCCATGAAGAAAGATTTTTGGGATGGGGGAAGGCTAATTGTTAGCTGTAGCGGGTGGAAGTAGATAATTGATTATGCTTCAACAAGGTATATTAATTGGCGTGATGGGTTTACGAGCTGTTACTGATAACCTGTCACGCCTGGTATTGCAAAGAAGTGATACGTGCTGTAGATCGGCTACTTGATAGACCTCTGATATTTATGGGGGAGAACGTGTTGAAGGCGGGAGACTCTGAGCCTTTATATACACCAGTGCTCGGTTGTGCCTCCGGTGCTCGGTAGTATCTTCCCGAGCACTGGCCGGCCTCGCCAGGGTCATTGCAGAGGACCGGGCCTCAGCCTTGGCCCTGGCCCACCTCCTTTGCGACACCTGCCAGAAAAGACATGGCAAATGCCGCGAGGATTCCAAGAGCAGGAATATGAATAAAACCAGGAATAACGATAAGTATAACGGACAAACGGTGCAAGATAGGGTCTATTGTATGCTGATCTAGATCTTTGAAAGAGAAAGGAGGACGGGCACAGGGCCGAAGGCCTTGTGACCTCCTTATATACAGTAGTCCCCTCTCTTGTAGGTGCGGTACTCACTACCGCACCCCTGTCATTTCCGACGAGTGCTCGGTAAGCATCTACCCTGTGCGGATCTCCCGTGCTAAGGCCTGGAACAGTGTGCCGGCCCTTGGTGATAGACTCCTTTGTGATAATAAGAACTAATTAGGAATAAAGATGGAAACACTATAAGGAGGAAAAAGGAAAAGAAAGGGGGCGGGCATGGACTGTACCTGGCCGGCCGCCCCGGCTTCAAGCTGAACAGTGTCCAGGACCCTCTGCTGCTCAAGGGACGCCGCGCGCTGAGCCCTTTTTCGGCCCGACATGGCGTGCATCTTGTGGTGCGTGTGATAGATAAGCAGGCTTCCATGTTTGAACAACCAATGCCGATGCTTTCCCGCGCGTCCGGGCACACTCATGGTCACCAGATGCCCTCCATTCATTGATTCCGGCTGGTATCAACGCTCTCCCCTCCTAGTGCTGATCGAGTCACACTATCACAGGGTGGCTACTATCAAGCATGGGCTCACGACGCTAGGCTGGGCGATAATGCCATGATTCATACGGCATTTCTCTCATCACCAGTTTGTCATATCCCAGAGCCTGCTTCTCACGTCGTATTCGGGCCCGGCATAGCCCCTAGATACGATAACGTCAGCAGAAACGGTGAAATTCCCGTTTAGGTCATCCGGCAGGCAAACGGGTCTTCTGGACGCTCTCGCTTAATTCTTCTTCCTTCTTCCCTCTTTCGATCTGGCGTGTAGCCGGCTCTTTTCTCTTTTCTTCATTTTTTTTTCTTGGCTCCACCTCCAGACGAAGAGTGCATCTAACCGAGGGGGCCTAGACCGATCCGGACCTCCATGCAGCGACGCCCAGGTTGGCTGGACGCTAGTTCCAATCTTTTGGGGGGAGGGGATAAACTCCGCTGTGCCTCGAAAAAGCAAAGAAATTGACCGCCTAGGTGATTCACCTGTGGCCTCCGGTTCGAGAACACTCGCCCCAAGGCGATGGATCGGCGTACAGCGCAAGAGAGGAGCAGTAGCAGCGGGACAGCTGTGGCAGGCCGAAACAAGACGGTGCTACTGCCGATCCGAAAGCATGGGTGGGACAACCCGACGCAGCGGCACCCACCATTGGCTTGGGACGCAGTGGCGGTCGAGAGGGGAAGGGGAGGAAGGGGGGACGTAACAACCGGTGGGAGACTGTTGAGAGAGATGGACGCAGACAGGCAGACAGCCCTGTCACAAATCGCTTCCCCCAATGTCCAACAAGCCAACCAACCAACCAACCAACCAACCACACAACCCTGCTTTGCACGCTACTCCCCCGAGGAGATCGATCCGTCCACTCCAAGGGTGTCCGCGTGCCCACCGCCCGCCCTCCCGCGACGCAGCCCCCATAGGATTCGGTTTGCCCGGCGACGCGCAACCTTGGGGCCTGGCCTGGCTGACCGGTGAACTGCGTGGATACCCGGTGGGCGTCACAGAAGGCCCGCATGGCAGGGGAGGGGAGGGCCAACATAGGCATATACGTACAATACATACATATATTGGGTGATGTGGTGCCAGTCCCCGCCCGCTTTCACCGCCGCGGGGGGGTCACCTTTCTTTCTTTCTTTCTTTCCTTCCCTCCTCCTTGCCGCCGGGGGTTGATAGTGGAGTCGAAAGCATGCGACATGCGACTCTACCTGCCACCCCTGGCTCGACCGAGGACGCCGGGCGTTGCGGGCGGGCGTTCTAGCGTATCAGATGCTGCATGCTGCATGTCGTAGGAATGGGCTAGAGAGTCGGCGCTAGTTCCGCCAACACGCCAGGAAATGGCAGCGGTGGCGCTAGCCACGTTTACTAGGGGGGACCAGGGCCGATTCGGAATCCCGAGCGCGGCGTAAGGGCCGGACAAAAAAGAAGGATGGTGCACTCCCTTCCCGTCCGATTCGCCTGCCGCATGGCCCCCCACATATTGACAGGCAAGATTGCAGCACAAAACATGCAGGTTGGGAGCTAGCGGGCGACGCTTGCTGGTTGCCATTTCCACAGGTTTTCTTCGATGTGATGGGCGTATGTGTTGTTGTTGTTTGCGTTGTTTGCGTTGTTTGCGTTGTTTGTGTTGTTTGTGTTGTTTGTGTCTGTGACTCTGTTAGAAAGTGTGTGTGACGGGAGGTCGCAAAAGCTTGTGATGAACTGAAAGGAGAAAGCAGGCAGCCGCAAAATGCACAATTGACCTAGCTGTTGGCCTCGCCGACCTTCATGTTCTCTCCTCTCTCCTTCACTCTGGCGGGTTGTCGTGAAAGCTGCAGGCAGGTCCCCACATATCGGGCTCGGCGACGTCGGGACTGGGGGCCCTTTTTTTTTGGTGCCACCAGATGACGTCCGATTAGCCGCCATCGTTGCCTGCCGCCACAAAGCCGACATGAGGGTGTGGCGGCTTCGTGTCACGTTGCACAAGCGATCGTTGTCTGCCGCCCTTGCTGCTCACTTCCGCCTCCCCATTCGTTTTTTCCCCTTTTCCTTTTCCAAGACATATTTGACCTCCTCTCCACCGCTCGCGTCGTTCCCCCGCCCCGCCCACTCTCCCGTCGCCTTGTCATACCCCAAAATCCCATGCATCGTGGCTCATTACGGCACGGCCTGTAGCAGACAGGACTTGGCCCTTCTTTTATCGACCCACAGCCTGTGTGTGTGTGTGTGTGCGTGTGTGCGACCCTGGCTGAGCCGCAAAATCGCTCCGGCGGTGTCTGTCCCAGCACGGGGAGATGACGTGGTCTGCTTGGTAGGCTGCGCAGGGGAGAGAGATAGGGGGGTAGGTTTCCGCCCCGTGTATGCGGGGGGCCTTTGTTCTTTGGCGTGAGATAGGGCCCAACCGAGAGAGTGGCACGGAGAGGGGCGGGGGGGAACCACACCGGAGAGCTGGGTATAATTGCGTAATACATAGTATAATCTGCGCCCCATAAGGCCGAATCCAGACATCTGCATCCCGTCCCTTCTACCGCAGCCCACGGGTTTTCTGCAGGGGTCGTGTTTCGAACTCACCGGTCCGTATTCTTGGTTCCATGATTACCTCACACACACAGCCACGGACCAACACGAGCGGCATTTGATGTCACTTTTTTTTTCCTGGTACGCACGCGCCTGGCAAAGAATGGAGGGCTCCCGGCGCCGCCCCAATCCTTCTGAGCCTATCGCGAGCCGCCGGGCGCCTTCTTTGCCGTGTGATGGACCGGCCATTGGATAGGTAGACCGTTGCCACCTGCAGCTGTGAACTATCCCGACACAAACTCGCAGATATCTTGGGCGGCGGGCGTCTGCTCTCCCTTCTTGCCCTCACGGCCATGCAGACCCCACCCCGCTTTCGGCGCCCGACCAACAGCAGTGTCATCCGCGCGTGCCGCGATCCTGCAGGCATAGCCGGGGAGGCGTTCTGTGCTTCTCCTTTGTGGCCGACACACATCTCGTCTCCGGCCCCCTCCAGCTGTGACGGAGGGTGCTTTTGACAGCCAGCCCCTCCCATCCGCCCGAGCTGTTACTGGTCCCGAGAGCTTGGGTCGTGCTATCACGGCAGGGAGCGTGACCAACTCTAGATTCGGCCCGTTGTCTCTTTTGATGAAATCAACGGGAGGATGGTGTGTGGGGGGCGGCCGTATACTGGATGGCAAGGCCGAGTCCGACCGGCTGGGACGCCCAAGGGTGGCTTGATACGCCCGGGTCGCTTGACCATCAGAGGTCAGCATCCTGTCGGGGACTCGGTTGTAGTTTCGAGCTTTCCACACCGTCAGTCACCGTGGGTTGGTTACGGCCCGGTGAGGTGGATGTGCCCGAGTATTTATTCATGCCGGAGCCCCCTTCTCGGCTACTGAGCGATGAGTTAGAGTGCCAACCATACGGCTGTTTCATCAAAGGAGTACCCAGAATCCCCTCAATACCTCTACTTCTTCTCGTCGTATATAGTGCTGTAAGCCATGGCCTCAGCTCCGAGATTCTACTCTCCCCGGCGCGGCGAGCTGGACGGCGACGCCGTCGAGCCCGTGGCGATAGTCGGATTCTCCTTGAAGTTCCCACAGGATGCCACAAGCCCGGACGCCTTCTGGGACATGCTGGCGGAGCGGAGGTCTGCCATGACCGACGTTCCCGCGGACAGGTGGAGCGCCGAAGGATACTATACCGCCGACTCGGGGAAGCCCGGCATGGTAAGTTTCGTCCGTCCTGAGCCCCCCCCGGGATACCAAGAGCAGGAGAGCAGCGTGCTGAAGATTCGTCGCGTCATAGAACAATGTCGAGGGCGCCCACTTCGTCAAGGAGGACGTCAGCCTCTTCGACGCCCCATTCTTCTCCATAACGCCCACCGAGGCAAGGTCGATGGACCCGCAGCAGAGATGGCTGCTGGAGTGCTCCTACCGGGCATTCGAGAACGGTACGTGGGCGATAGCTGAAGGTCAAGCGGCGGGGATGGCAGAGAACTGACGCGCAAACAGCCGGCATGTCGTTGGAACAGGTCGCCGGCAGCGACACGACGGTCCACATGGGCTGCTGGTCGGGCGAGTTCAACTCCCTCTCCCACCACGACCACGAGCTGCACACGCCCTACTTCCTCACCGGCACGGGCAACGCCCTGATCGCAAACAGGGTCAGCTGGTTCTTCGACCTGCGCGGCTCCAGCGCTACTATCGACACGGGCTGCTCGAGCAGCATGGTGGCGCTGCACCAGGCGTGCGAGTCGCTCCGGAGCGGCCACTCCTCCATGGTACGTCGTCTGAAAGCGGCGCTTAGCTCTGATCAAGACTGACAGCAAAGAACAGGGCCTCGTCGGCGGCATCAACCTCATCCTGACCCCGCACACCTTCACCCACCTCACCGACCTGGGCATGCTGAACCCGGCCGGCAAGTCGTACACCTTCGACTCGCGCGCCCACGGCTACGCGCGCGGCGAGGGCATCGGCGTGCTGGTGCTCAAGCGCCTGCGCGACGCCCTGCGCGACGGCGACTGCGTCCGCGCCGTCGTCCGCAACACGGGCTCCAACCAGGACGGCCGGACCCCGGGCATCTCGCAGCCGAGTAGCGCCGCGCAGGAGGACCTGATCCGCACCGTCTACGCGCGCGCGGGCCTGAGCCTGGCGGACACGGGCTACTTCGAGGCCCATGGCACCGGCACGCCGCTGGGCGACGGCATCGAGGCGCGCGCCATCGGGGCCGTGTTTGGACCTGTCAGGGAGCCTGGCAGGCCGTTGTACGTCGGGGCAGTCAAGACGAACCTCGGGCATCTCGAGGGCGCCAGCGGGGTCGCGGGGGTGATCAAGACGATCCTCGTGCTGGAGAAGGGGATAATACCGCCAAACATGTGGTTCGAGGAGAAGAACCCTGCCATCGAAGACGGCTGGAATCTCAAGGTAAGCAAGAGCTATTGCCCTTCCCATTGTGAAAGTTGGCGTGCTGATCGCTACTCCTCCTCCTCCCCACAGTTCCCTACCGAGCCGACGCCGTGGCAGACCCGCGGCCTGCGCCGGGCCTCGATCAACTCGTTCGGGTACGGCGGGACCAACGTGCACGCCGTGCTCGACGACGCGCGCTCGTACCTCGAGTCCCGCGGCCTGCGCGGGAACCACAACACGGCCGGCGACCCGTCACTGTCGCTGCCGTCGCCGCCCGCGTCCCGCGTGATACAAGCGGCTCCGGGCAGCCCGACGTGGTCGGCGTCCTCCTCCTCGGGCGGGACGGGGTCCGACGACTTCGTCATCCTGCGGCGGCCGGGCAGCGCCGGCGGCGCCTCTGACGACATGGCTAGCGTGACGAGCGAGCACGTCGACGTCTCCGGCGGCAGCGGCGGCGGTGGCTGCCAGCCGGTGGCGCTGCTGCCCGCCGTGCCGCGCCCGCTGCTGTTCGTGTGGTCGACGCACGACGAGGACGGCCTGCGCCGCGTCGCCGAGGCCTATTCCGGGTACCTCGCCACGACGAGGGCTGCGCGCGGGGAGCACCCGGGCCGTTGCGGCGGCGAGGCCGAATTCCTCTGCAGGCTGGCGCACACTCTGGCGTCGAGGCGGACCAGACTGCCCTGGAGGTCCTTCACCGTCGCGGCCAGCCGCAGCGAGCTGTTGGCGCGCTTGGGCGATGGCAAGTCGGCGCCTTCGCCGCCAGTCAGGGCCGCGTCGTCGCCGCCGCTCAAGGTCGGCTTCGTGTTCTCGGGCCAGGGGGTCCAGTGGCACGCCATGGGGAGGGAGCTCCTCGTCTACCCTGTATATAGACGCGCTCTCGAAGAGGCCGACGAGGCGTTGCAGACGCTTGGATGCTGGTGGTCATTGATCGGTAAGGCAGAGCCACTCCTCCCTCCTTCCATCTAGCCGTTTGCAACAAGCTTTTCCCCCTGCTGACTGACATCCGCCCACACAGACGAACTCACCAAAAACGCCGACTCGTCCAACGTCGACAACCCTGCCTACAGCCAGCCCCTCTGCGCAGCCGTCCAGATTGCGCTGGCCCGGCTGCTGGCGAGCTGGGGCGTACGCCCGGCCTCGGTGGCGGGCCACTCGTCGGGCGAGATCGCGGCCGCGTACTGCGCGGGCGCGCTCAGCCTGCGCGCCGCCATGAAGGTGGCTTACTTCCGCGGTGCCCTATCTGCCGACCTGCTGGTGCGGCAGCTCACATCGGGCGGCGGCGGCGGCAGCGGCCGTGGCATGATGGCCGCGGCGCTGTCCGAGGCCGCGGCAAACTCGTACCTCGAGAGAGGCGGGCTCGCCAACGTGGCCGTGGGGTGCGTCAACAGCCCGCAAAACGTCACCTTTACGGGTGACAGGGGCCAACTGGTCAGGCTGGAGCAGACTCTCAAGTCCGAGGGCGTGTTTTGCCAGCTCCTCAACGTCGGCAGCGCCTATCACTCCAAGTACATGGAGGTGGTTGCCTTGAGATACCAAAAGTGCATGGGCTCGTTGGAGACGAATGGCGACGCCGACCCAGCAACAAGTCCGGTGATGTTCTCATCCACCACCGGAAGGCGAGCCACGGCCGACGAGGTGTCCAGGGCCGAGTACTGGGTCAAAAACCTCGTCTCTCCGGTCTTGTTCTCGGCCGCCTTGTCCGAGATGCTCAGGGAGGAGACCGTCAGCACCAACGGCGGCGAGAAAACTGGAGTCAACTACATCCTAGAGGTGGGCCCGCACGGGGCGCTGCGTCGTTATGTCCAAGAGATTCGCGATGCTCTCCCTCAGGGTCTCATCGGAAGGTCAGCAATGTACGACTCTGCCCTGACACGCAACGTGTCTGCCACAGAGACGGTCCTGAACGCCGCAGGGAGGCTCTTCTGCGCGGGCTTGTCATCCCTGGACCTTGGCGCCGTCATGGCCAGCGGCGCCGACGGCGGTGCATATCACGGCGCCGCCGGGCGCGAGAAGATGCTCGTCGACCTCCCCGAGTACCCCTTCAACCACTCGCAAGGCTACTGGGCCGAGAGCCGGATCAGCCGCAACATGCGGCTGCGGCGGCAGCCGCGCAGCGACTTCCTCGGCTCGCAGGTTGCCGACTGGAACCCGGCCGACGCGCGCTGGCGCATGTACCTCAAGCTGGCCGAGCACGGCTGGGTGCGGGACCACGAGGTCACGGGCCAGCTCATCTACCCGGCGGCCGGCATGCTCGTCATGGCCATCGAGGCGGCGCGCCAGCTGGCCGACACGGGACGTGCTGTGGCCGGCTACCGGCTCAAGGAGGTCGTGTTCGACAAGGCCTTGACGCTGCCCGCGGCCGCGTCAGAGGGAGTCGAGGTGCAGCTGCGCGTCCGCACCGGCAGGGTCAGCAACTTCACGGGCGGCGCCTCCGGCTGGTCCGACTTTGAGCTCGCGTCGCACGGCGACGGCGGGTGGACCGAGCACTGCCGCGGCAGCATCCGCGTCGAGTACGGCGAGGCCACGGCGACGGCCAAGTCGGCGGCTTCGGGCAGCTGGGGCAGCGGCAGCGCAGCACGCGAGAAGAAGGCAAGGGAGGAGAGGGTGCTGGGCGAGGCCGCGGCGCTCGACCGTAGGTGCAGCGTGCCGCTCGACTCGGGATCGCTGTACGGCATGATCGAGATGATCGGCATAGTCTTCGGGCCATCCTTCCGGACGATGCGAGATGTCCGACAGAGCAGCAGAAGCAGCATCAAGCGCAGCGCCAGGGACCCCGCCTCCAACACGCCCTCAAGCGATGCCGTCGCCAGCATCCGCGTCATGGAGCAGCGTCCTGGTGCCAGGCCAAACGGTCACCAGGTGATCCACCCGGCCACACTGGACGGGATTCTGCAGACCGTCTTCCCATCGCTTGCCGCGGGCGACAAGCAAACAGCGATGCGGACGCTTGTCCCGTCGTTCCTGGAAAACATGTGGATCGCATCAGACATCTGCCAGGACGATCCTGCGTCGCTCAAGGCGCATACCACGGCCCGCAAGCGGGGCCTTCGGGAAGCCGAGTGCACCGTGACAGTCACGACCCCCGGGGGCGACTCTCTTCTTGCCGAGTTGAGCGGTTTCAGGCTCACGGCCCTGAGCAACGGGGCTGGCGGTGGTGCCACCTCGGCCATGAAGGGTCGCGACGGAAACTGGAGGCGGCTATGCTACAACTTGGCTTGGGCCCCAGATGTCGACCTTTTGGATCTCAAGCAGGCACCCGACTGGTTCTTTGAGCCTTTGGCGACGGCAGAGGCCACCGCTCGTGGGGAGTCTCTTGGTCTGGAAGAAGAACTCGAGTTCCTGTGCTTTTACTATGTCACCAAGGCATTGGATTACCTAGACCAAGGCGGGACCGGACCTCCGGCTGGCGGGCACTTGGAGAAGTACGTCGACTGGATGCGGATGCACAAGCGGCACGTCGTCAGTCTTGCCACGGGCGGTTCGGCTCCCACGGGGCCTCATGCCATCAACGCCAAGTCGGCATGGCTCCGGCAGGTCCGCGACGAGGCGTATGTGGTCGAGATGATGGAGCGGGTGCGCGAGACTCCCGAGGCACCTATCCTGCTCCGGCTGGGACCCGAGTTGCCGGCAATCCTCGCGGGACTTGTCGACCCGCTGGAGCTGATGTTCCGGGATGACGTGCTGCAGCGCCTGTACAGGGACGGCTTCGGCGCCAAGGGGACGTATGCGGCCCACGAGCGACTTATCGACGCCCTGGCGCACAAGAAGCCAGGGATGCGAATCCTGGAGATCGGGGCTGGGACCGGAGGGACGACTGTGCCGCTGATCGAGACGCTATCACGACATGGCCAAGGGTCGGAAAGTGAAGATGGCACCCCGAGGTTCGAGCACTATACGTTTACCGACATCTCACCTAGCTTCTTTGAGAAGGCCCAAGAGATGTTCAAGGACCATTCGTCGAGGATGAGCTTCAAAGTCCTGGACATTGAGAGAGACCCGATCAAGCAGGGGTTCAAGGCCGAGGGATACGACCTCATTGTTGCGGCTAATGTAAGTTGGGCCTGTTCTGGGGCGTGCCTTGCTCGGATTTTGCTAACGCTGCTACTCCCCTAGGTCTTGCACGCCACTAAACAGATGCAAGTGACGCTGGCGAACACCAGGCGACTGCTGAAGCCGTAAGTGCCGCTCCTGAAGGCGAGCTCGACCGACGTTCACCAACCAGAGCGCTAACAACCGTGACAGTGGTGGGAAGCTTCTTCTCTTTGAGCTCACGAATCTGAACATGCTCGGTGCCGGATTTGCCATGGGATTGCTCCCAGGCTGGTGGCTAGGTAAGTCCATCAACGGCCTTTGGTGCACTCATGTACGCGACCTGAAAGGAGAGTTACTGACGGTTACAATCTGTGACAGGAACGGAGGCGAATCGTAAATGGGGCCCGCTGATGTCCAGGACCGACTGGGACGCCGCGCTTCGCAGCTCAGGGTTCACCGGGAACGAGCTGCCGACACAATGGCCGGGAAGCGAGAAGACGCAGACCATTTCAGTCATGATGTCGACCGCCACAGATCATGCCAGGGCGCAGAAGGCGCCTCCAGCATCGGCACCTAGCAACCAAATCGTTATTGTCGTGTCCGAGCGGTCGAATCTGCAGCGAGCTGTGGCGGCCGAGCTTGCCCGATATCTAGAGGCAGGCCCCGGTAGGACGAGGAAGTCAGACCCAGTCAGGATCTACTCAATCGCCGAGGCGTCACGCACGCCGCTACGGGATGCAGTCTGCGTCTTCCTCCCCGAGTTCGAGCACCCGTTCCTCGAGACCATGGACGAGGCTAGGTTCGCCTGCCTGAAGCAGCTCACTGGCGCTAAAGGCCTTCTGTGGGCCACCAGGTCCCCTGTTGCTGGGACTTGGACGCCGGCGTTTGATCTGGTGCACGGGTTCGCGAGGACCATCCGCGAAGAGAAGGGGGAAGATTTCGACTTTGTAACGGCAGCGCTGGAAGATACGAGGGTGGATCCTGCGTCGGTGGCGACCAAGCTCGGCCGTATTATACGATCCACGGGCCTCCTGACCTCGGGTCGACGCGGCGAGGAGAGGGCTGAGCAAGAGTTTGTCGAGCGTGACGGAGTGCTCTGCATCGGTCGAGTTGTCGAGGCAAACTATCTCAACGACGAGATTGCGACAAGCCTTGTCCCGGCCGCCCAGCGCACGCCAGAGATGCAACCGCTCCAGCCGAATAGACCGGTCAAGCTGACGATCGGATCGTTGGGGCTGCTCGACACGTTGCGTTTTGTGGACGCAGACGACGGAACCAGTGGCGAAGGCAGCCCGCACCTGCACATCGAAGACGGATACGAAGTCGAAATCGAGGTCCGGGCATGTGGCCTAAACTTCTTTGACGTCATGGCCGCCATGGGCCAAATCCCCGAGGATCTAGGGATCGAGTGCTCGGGCGTGGTGTCGCGCGTCGGTACCCGGATCTCGAGACTTAAAGTCGGAGACCGCGTCCTGACGGCGCAGATGTCGTCGCTTCGGACTATGGTCCGCGCGCCCGAAAACCTGGTCTACCCCATCCCGGAGCACATGTCGTTCGAGGAGGCGGCGACGCTGCCCATAGTCTACTGGACCGCCTACTATTCGCTCTTCGAGGTCGCGAGGCTCAAGGAGGGCGAGACGGTGCTGATCCACTCCGCCTCGGGCGGGCTCGGGCAGGCGGCCATCAACATGGCGCGGCTGCGCAGGGCCCGCGTCCTGGCGACGGTGGGCACGGCCGAGAAGGCCGCCTTCCTGGTGCGCGAGTTCGGGCTGCGCGAGGAGGACATCTTCTCGAGCCGGGACGTGGACTCGTTCGTGCTCGGCGTCGAGCGCGCCACGGGAGGGCGGGGCGTTGACGTCGCTCTCAACTCGCTCTCTGGCGAGGCCCTCCGCGCGACGTGGGAGCGCTGCATGGCGCCGTTGGGGCGCTTCGTCGAGGTCGGCAAGCACGATCTGGCCACCTTTGCGAGCCTGCCCATGCACCCTGTGGCTCGGGGGGTCAGCTTCGCCAGCGGTGACGGGCTCTATGCCTCTCGCAGCAACCCGGCCCTGCTTTCCCGCATCCTAGGCGAGGTGGCTGCTCTCGCTCACGCCAAGGCCATCGAACCGCCGAAGCCGTTACACGTCTATGGGTTCGGGCAGGTCGAAGAGGCGTTCAGATTGATGCAGGGCGGCAAGCATATAGGAAAGATTGTGCTGAGACCGGAGCCTGGCCAAAAGATACCGGTTAGTTGTTTCTTTACCTCTCGGGGTACGTACGTCTCAAGGAGGTGCTAACAAGTCTCGCCCTGGACCCAGATTGCACCAGATACTCGACCACAATATCATCTGAGAGCCGACGCGACATACGTTGTCGCCGGTGGCCTCGGTGGGCTTGGCCAGAGCGTTGCCCGCTGGATGGTCCGTCGCGGGGCAAAGCATCTGCTTCTCTTGTCGCGATCAGGCGCGGACAAGGACAACACTCTCGTCGCCGATCTTGTTTCGATGGGGGCAGCGGTTGTACTAACACCAAGATGCGATGTGAGCAACAAGCAAGAGCTCGCAGCGACTCTGGATGCGTGCAAGCTGATGATGCCGCCTATTGCCGGCTGCTTCAATGCGCAAATGGTGTTGAAGGTGAGTGCAGTTATTGTCGCGACGTCCCGAATCACACATGGCAAATGCGGAAGTCCAAGCAAAGTGCTGGATCCACATTTCCCAACTAGCCCCATCATTCACCATCCACCAATCAGATGGCCTCCTGCTGACCTCACTACCCCTGAACAGGACGACAGCTTCACGTCCATGAGCCTCGACGACTTCCACGCCGCCCTGGCTCCAAAGGTCAAAGGCTCCTGGAATCTGCACAGTCTCCTGCCGGACGGGCTTGACTTCTTTGTGATGCTATCCTCCATGACAGGGGTTATGGGAAGCCATGGGCAGAGCAACTACGCCGCCGGAAACTCCTACCAGGACGCTCTGGCTCGCTACCGTCTCGCAAGTGGCCAGAGGGCCGTCTCCCTAGATCTCGGCATGCTCCTGTCCGTGGGCTTCGTCGCCCAGCAGGGGCAGGACGGCAACGCCGCGCTCATCCATCGCCTGCGCGACCGCGGCTACATGCCCATCCGCGAGGCCGAGTTCCTCTCCCTGATCGAGATATACTGCGACCCCACGACTGCACTGCCGCCCCGACGTGCTGCCGGCCCCCTAGATGTGCTCCATGCCCAGGTCATAACAGGCATCGAGACCCCCGCGTCCTTGCGTCGACGCGGAGTGGAATTACCGTTCGCATCACGCACGTCGGCGCTCTTTGACGCACTTCACCACATGGGTGTGGGGCGGTACGGCGACGAGAGCGGCAGCGATGCTGATGCAGGTGGCAGTGGGTCCGCAGACGGGAAAGGCGGGCTCAAGGCGCGACTTGCTGCTGCTGCGTCCGTGGCCGAGGCTGGTGTCGTCGTGGCCGAGGCGCTCGCTGCTAAGCTTGCGAGGATGTTGTCAGTCCCCAGCGCGGACGTGGACATGTCCCGCCCGCTGCACGTCTACGGCGTCGATTCCCTCGTTGCTGTGGAGCTGCGCAACTGGCTGGCCCGAGAGGCGCGGGCTGACGTTGCTGTGCTGGAGCTCATGGGTGGGTCCAATATCTCCCGACTGGGCGCTGCGATCGCGGCAAAAGCACAGGCAGTCCCGGGGATCATCTGAGGCTTCACACCCAGTTCGAGCCCCGAGAGGGGAAGAAAAGGAAGAAGAGAACGAATCAAGAGGAGGGAACAACTCACAAAAAAGAGGACAAGACCAAGAGAACCAAAAAAGAAAAAATATAGCAGAACCTCATCTTCAAGGACGAGGTTACGAGACTGAGCTTGGGGCCGCCTACTCCCAGCGGTGACCCAAAAAAAAACAGCAGGAAAAGGGAACCGCCAAAAATTGAACTCAGGCCTCAGCGGCCTGGCGGTCCATGGACCCTAAAGGCATCCACAGAAATGCGGTGTCAGTAGGTACCAACTGCGCCAGTTTTGTATCATCATCGGCCTGTTGTTGCTGGAAGACGGCAGAGCTTCGCATATATGGGCCTGCCAGAGGGCCCTGGGCTCGCATGCGCCATCTGCCATGGCCGGCGCCCTCGCGTCACGCGGCAGAGCCCCCTCCTCTGCCGTGATACGCAGGCATTCACGTCTCTACGCGCTGCCTTGCCCCCCCTACCCTACCTGTTTACTTCCCGCCCCACTCCCACTTTGATGCCATATCCCCCCTCGTCGAGACACGGAGTTGGAGTTCTTTTGTCAAAGACAGGCGCAGGCTGGTGTTTTCTTCACGCGATGTATTCTAGAATTCCGGGCTCGCTGCCCCATCTTCGTTCCGCAATGAAGCACTTTCAACCTACGAACATCCTTTTCGCGACGTCTGATATTGGATATTTTGTGCCCTTCAATGCACCCAACCTGCTACAACCTGATATTTCCAATCATAGCAAATCCATCGACCGCAACGGTGACCTTATTTAGCCATATCCTTGATACTAGAACATTTCCATCAACTCCAGCAACCTCTGCATGTCCTCCCCAAGGCGTCCATCTGCTGACCTCGCCCTCTCGACTCATAGCAAGAACACAGCTAGACCAACGTCAGACAGCGCTGCCGCAGCATGGCCCGCATTACGGACAGCCCTACCTGACGACAGAAGCGCATTTCACACCTCTCACTATACCTCTACCTCGTTCCGTCAATGCTCACCCGCTCACCGATGACGAGCCCTCGCCCACTCCCACATCGCCGCTGGCCAACAACAGGGACCTTGCCTGCACCGCAGCAGCCAGCCGAGCGACAAGTAGCGCTCCCCCAAGATCGATATCAGTCGGCTGGCGCGAGCCAATACACACAAAGCAAGACGCATTTACGGCCTGAAGATCACACATATATGCCTAGAAATCTCGGGCGCAAGGCCGGAATTGGCTGCGTTGCAATTCATCAGCCTCGCCCACGGCTCGTTTGGAACAGTCTGTTTTAGAAAATAACATGCTTCGAGAGCGAGGATGTATCTCTTTGGTGGGCTTCAGGATATGGCCTAGCCACGGCTAATGCATGTAACATCCACCCCAATCTTTGCAAGAGACTTGGGACACGGAGAGAGAGAGAGAGAGAGAGAGAGAGGAGGGGAGGGGGGGAGGGGGGGGGGTCGGGTT